AGATGGATGAAGTCGAAGCAGGAAGCCGCGAAAAATAAAAACGCTGAAGTGCCTCAGAGTGCTTCAGAGCAGAGCACACAGGTATTTACTAAAACACCTTTCATTTCTCCGTTCTTTTCAGATGCCTTGCAGGCTTCCTCCCTGTTGTCTTGTTTTCTTGGCCTGCAGCTGCATTTACAGCGTTTTACGGCTGCACGCGGTGCAACGAGCCGCTTTACTGCAGCCTCTTATGCAAAGCTTGTAAATTTAAGTTGGTGATGAAGTCCTGACTGTGACTTGACAAAATATTGCATGTTTTTTTTAGAGAATGCATCAAAATATATGAACACAGCAGAATAAAAGTTGTTTGCGGCTCTTTAACATTTTTAATTTTCGCCATTAAATAAATATGTGACAACTTTCCCGTCGTGCTCGACCGTCCTGGCCTCGTATCTGAACGCCAGCGTCGAAGTCGGTGCATCTCAGGCCCGTCGTAGCGCCGCCGATCCGAAGCAGGGATTGTTGTGCCCCCTTTTGGCTGCAAGTCAGCACTGCACTGTCGTTACAGCAACTTCTCAGTGAGCTTGTGGCCAACCGGTGGCATCATTAGAGCGATTAGAGATCAGGACGGGACGCGTTAATGCACTCGTTGGTTTGATTCTGTAAAATGAGGCTTCTGTCTGATCGGAGGAACGACTGCAGAGTGACTGTGTCGGTTTGTCACTGCGTTGAATCGCAGACCATTCATCACGGAGGGAAGCTGCGTTTTCTGCCCCTCTCTCAGGATTCAGTGATAAGAGATGAATGAAGAAAAATGACAGAGCGATAGGGCCCGTCCACGATCTATCACGGAGCAACGAGGGCCGAGCCGCTGCAGCGCCGCCCGGCACCATGAATCACAGCGGCTTGACTTGGTGTCAGAAACCTGTCCTACGAGCAGCAGCGGATCCGAACGGCTTCAGCTCGAGAGCAGAATTTCAGTTATTTGATTGATTTCAACACGGCTCTGTTTCGGATGTCTATTTTTTCCTGCTGTTTGTATTTATAGAACCTCTTTAAGTCCTTTTTCCCTCAACTGGGTGGGGGGGTAACAAAAAAAAAAAGAGAAAAAAAAGGCCTGCCTGTTTGGAGTTTACAGGATCAAAGAGGAGGTAAATATCATTTCCATAACATTTGAACCAGTTAACCAGCAGCACAATACAGAGAAACACTACTGTAAGCGCCTGACAATGCCAATGAGGCAGGAACTCTGTGATTTGCCGCTCTGCCAAAGAGGAGGGAAGCGAGCGAAAACATGGAGGAGGTGAGAGGTCAACTGCGCTCTCCCTGCATCACTTTCCAAGCAGCCCCTCCAGCGCTGGTGATGTTTTAGGCAACCGTACCTCACTTTGGGGGGAGGACTGATGGATGCCATTCCCAAGGTGAATGGAAAGAATAGCATTAAGCTGCACCACACTGCCTGGGGAGAGCTCCACTGCTTTGGGTGATTCATCTATTGATTATTTCTACCCAAGCATGGACGTGCCATGTAAACACACATATATTAGTGGTCTACAATACACATGTGCGCCCCGAACACACATGCAGACACGGTGGATGCAGCGAAGCGCGCCTCAGGCCTACTCACTGTTTTATAATCAGATTCCGACTTCTAGCAGCTCGTGGGCATCTTCAAACCACCAGGCAGCTACATCAGATGGAGAACTAAATAGAGATGAATGAAGAGATGAAGGAATAAATAAATGATAAATGTGCATTACCTCTATTTGTGTGGGCCAGCTATTATGTTATTGATTCAAGCCGGAGTTTTTTTGGTGCGTTCACGGTGCAGTATGTGGGTCAAGTCAGATTACGATGCTGATTCCGCGCTACGCTCCAGAATTTTAATTTCTCTCGCTGGAGTGCAAGAAGTGCCGTAAAACACATGTTCAGCTCAGGCTGGCTGAATGAAGTTTCCTGAAAACGAAGCCACGCTACCTCCAGGCCGAGTCGTGTCTCGTGGTTTGCGGGTTGGTAACAGGTTAGCATCAGTGACGGTTGAAGGCTGGTCCACGGCGCCTCCAGACAGACTGCAGGTGGTGGAAGAAGTTCTGAGATCCTTCAGTAGAAGTAGTGTGTTTAAAAAAGCGCAGTATTAGTGCAGCGTTTTAAGGTTTTAGCATCACCTGAAGTACCTGCAAGAACTTGAAGTCTGGCCCATTTCTGACTGGATTATAGTTATTATTGATGCATTAATTAATCACATTAATGTTGCAGCTGGAACTGATTTTACTGACTTTAGACACAGCAGGGAGTTTAATTTAATAGTTCATTTATATTTTTTGTTATTTATCAAAATGTGCAGATGAGAACAAAGTGCAATAAATGCAAATATAAAAGCAAAGTTCATCAAAATTAGGCTTAAAAACTTTTAGGTACTCGAGTAAATGTACTTATTACGTGCAGATGCTTCATAAAACATCATGAGAACGTTCTGAGAGCAGAAGACGAGCTGCTCTGTTTAGTGTGTTTGGTTGGATTAACAGATTATCCACACGGATGATGAATCAGATTTTGAAATTTAAGCCATATGAACGTGCACTACGCTGAAAACGTCTTTGATGAATTTTCAAAATAAAATTGTTTGTTATTCTTCAGAGGGAATGAACTGAGCTGAGCAGTTTAATCGGACTTTTAATTTTTATTTCTTTAAGTAAATAAGCAGAATTTATTGCACATTAGTCCGACTTCAGATAATCCAGACACCTGGATGAAGAACAGGTCCGTCTTTAGACTTGTAGTTGTGTTCTATGTGCTGCATTTGCACGGCACAAGCAGAGGTGGTGTTTTACTGTCAATTTACTGACAGCATCAGTGGATATAATATTAATAGTCTGCCACTTATTAACTGTTGACGCACAATGTTCCTTCCTGCTGCCATGCATGGTCCATCTGATCGTCCTTTAATTCTCTCTGGTGGATCTGAGCTTCCTGTGAACAGGTCTTCATGCTGAGTAGATTCACTTCCTGGTTTTTTCTCCTAAAATGCTCCAAAGTTTGATTCAAAATTTTCAGTGCAGCCTCCATGATTCTCAAGATGAAAGTTGCAGAGAAAATTTTTAGATTTTTTTTCTGCGATGTGAAAATCGCAGGCGGCCTCCACAGTTATTACAGATGTCTGGAGGTTCTCAGGTGACACCAATAAGGAATATGTGAACCCAGCTCCTGATTTCTTAACGTTGGGGGGAAATTTTGGAAATATACAACCCCTCTGTGTCCGAAGCAGCTCCCACCAAAAGTGATCAAAATTCTGAAAGTCGGCATTGACGTAGAATTCAAACCTCCTCCATCCAAACCTTCACATGTCCTCACTGCTCTCCCGTAGCAGCTCCTAAAACCATCTGACCTGCTCTGGGTGCTCTGTCTCAGGTCATACAGCCTGGTGGAGGTGCAGAGCTTCCTCCTGAATCACATCCTGCTGAAGCCCATCCAAGCATCCATGTGCAGGGCTTTTACTCTCCATGGTGGCTCAGAACAACAATACTTTAAAAAAATTCGGATCAAATTGAAATATTTGAGACTCTTTACAGAAAAGTGTCCTCACCAGGAGTCTCCTGGTGTTCTCCTGGTACGATCTCACAGACAGTTATTTTATTAAATACTAAACTATTTATACATTTCTAGGAAATCTTTACCTACAATAGGTGCTTTGCTGCAGTGACATTGTTGTATTTGTAATGCCCCTCTCATATTAACGCATGAATAATAATAATAATAAACTGAATTCAAACCACTTCATCCTAATTTTCTCCTCCTGAAGTGTTTTATTTTAGACTTGGCTTTTGTGTATTATTTCCATTTTGTAATCTGATATTTTTCAGTTTATTTCAGAGCTACAGTACGGAGGCGTGCACTGTAACAGGATATGACTTGCAGATGTGGTTGTTGTCCATCAGCGTCGTGTACATGCAGTTTCACTTTTCCCTGTTTGTTCAGGTGTGTGTTGTTCCAGCGGGCCTGATCCGCTGAGTGATCTCGTATTCATCCCGCAGCCTCCTCATTAATGTGTTTGAACCAGCATGTGCTCATGTGACTGAAGTGTCCTCCAGGATTTAGAACACCGTGTTTGTTCACGTCTCCGCTCGGCCCGTCTCCCGAGACAATCATCAACAAAACCTCTTTGTGTCGGTTTTTTTTTTTTTGTTCAAAGGTTCATCGGCGCTGATACCATCATCACACACTGGATGGTAAACGTACATGACAGAGTAGCATTTACTGCTACGCTGCATTATGAATCTGCCTCTCTTTTGTCTGCATTATCATGAACATTGGTGCTTAGGTTGAAATTCAACCTTTTGCTGCTAAAAAAGGAGAATGCCAGAGTTGTCACTTACATTGGATATCATTGCTTTGGGCAGGAAAAGAGCTTCTCTGCAACGAGTGTGTGTGTGTGTGTGTGTGTGTGTGTCTTCTCCTGCAGACTTTTTTTTTTCTATATAAACGTTGGACGTGGCTCTCTCCCTTAGGGGCGGTAATGGCATTCTCCATGACAACGGCGGTGTGACACGGCGGTGCCCTTGAGGGCCAGGCGCCCCCTCTGGGGGGAGCGCCGCGGAAACACGACAGGGTCAACGGTCACCTCCCATCATCCACCAGCAACCCGTCCTCCTCTCTCTCCCCGTCTTCCTTCAGGTAGAGCGAGGAATGTTAGAGAGAGAGAGAGAGAGAGAAAGAAAGTCTTGAAGCGAGCCCACTCAGTCCAGGCCTGGCAAACAAGGAGCTTTAGCCACAGGCGGTTCTGGCTAGGTCTCTACCTCGCATAGCTCCTTGCTGTTCCTCCAAGGCCAGGGCTGGATCAATACGTATAGTAGTGTGGATTCTTTTGGCACCCAAGTATAGCTATGCAGTATTGCCCCGAGGTACGGGTCCGTTAAAGACATAACAGTGTGTGCATGTGAGCAAAGTGGACTGAGTTTATTCAGGAAGGTGATGAAATGCTTGGCATAAAACTGATGCTTCCAACAAGGTTTTTCTCTTTTTCATTTTTTTTTTCATTTTGTTGCTGGAAAAGCAGGAAATTCTCATGTTCCCATTAAAAACCAGACGTACTGTTTTTATTCTGGGAATGTCGCTGACAGAACATGGATTCATGGACACTCAGAGATAATTTCATATTAGAAAAACGCTTCATTGAACTTCATTTGCGGCTGTTGAGAAAATAGAAAACCTTATTTACTGTTATTACTTGAACAAACATACAAAATGAGCCACTTGTGATCCACCCATCAGAGCTGGTTCCTTCACAACTAGATGTTCATTTTAGAAACAACGCTCTTCTGCCACCTGCTGGCTGAAAACCAAACCACAGCGGAGGAGTTTCACTGTGTCGTTAACGTCTGAAAGCATAAAAACTGTACATCCTGGAGGAGAAAGTACAACGAGCCTGTAATTACATCATTCCTTTTGTTTGACACACAAACAAGCTCCCACGTCAGCATCACGTCCGTCTTGGCACACGTTGAATGAAAATGTAAAAGGAAGTAAAGAAAAAACAGGACGCGGTTGCTTCAACAACTCGTGTCCTGTGCGTTTGGCATCTCCACAACACAAACTGTTTAACTCGTGAACATAAACTGACACGACGAGGCGTCTCGCATGAAACCAAAAATAAAAAGCTTCATGAAACTGATGCAGTTCTTAGAAATGAACGGGCTGACCTTCTGTTTAACTTATCTAGAGGTCACGTGCGGCGCCTGCAGTCGGATCTTCACCCTAAACGAGGACTTCCATCCAGAGACGTGTGAGGGAGCAGGTCAGGCACCTGTGGCAGGAGAACAGAGAGATGTTTCAGAAGCACACCTCTGCTGAAAGGCCTCCAGCTAACGGTGACACAGTCGTGGAGAGTCACACATCAAATACACCCGTCATCACATATTCAGCGTGTCATCATGCAAACAAAGCCGAGCTGCAGGACTCAGCTGTGGAGAACTCACCGTACTGATACGTGGACCTGGGCGGTGATGGAAGCGAGCCGTGTGGACCACTGGAGACCTGAGGGCCTAAACTTTTGCCGCGGCTCTGGAGACGAGCTCTCTGCACGGCCATCGCCACGGCCTGAGCGAATCTGGACGGGGCTGGAGGCTGCTGAGGCCCGGCTGAGGTAGACTCGTGTTGATCGGCCTCGCTGACTGCAGCAGTTTGACCGTTTGAGGTAGGACTTGTAGCGTCTTCTTTCTCCTCCTCCATGACTTCTGAGTCTTCACTAAAAAAGACGGGAGGAGGAGGAGGAGGGAAGGCGACCTCGTCCTCTTCTGTTTCTTGCAGCACTTGTTCCTCGAGCTTCTTCTCATCACCACATGAGCTGCACTGGTCCACATCAGGGTTCTGGATGAACTCCTTCTGGTCTTCTGAGTTGATGTGAGCCTCACTGCTGAAGTCTCCATCACTGCAGTCTGGTGTCACCTCAGATGTCACCTCAGGCTTCTCCTCCTCTTCCTCCTGCTGTCCAGTAGCGTCGCCCTCCTCGTACAGATGTGGACTGTCCTGTCTGGTCAGATCAGGCTCCTGGAAACAAAGTTGTGGACTGGCCAAAGGTGCTTCACTCTCTGACGTGTCAGGAGAAAGAGGGTCCTCCTCGGTGTCCGTTTGGCTTTTCTCAACCTCAGGAGATCCCTCGCTGTCTGGACGGCTGTCTGCTGATGTCTGGGACTGCTCTGGAACATCCGCCGTCACTTCTGAATCACTCAAATCCGGTTTCTTCGAGGGAACCACTTTGAAGGTGGTCAGGCCCGTCCTCTGGGCTGGATCCTCCCATTCGCTCTCAGTCGGGAGCTTCGACCTGAGGACTGATTCCAGCTCGGTGCAGAGAGTCCCGTTGTCCGAACACTTTGGTGTCGTGGACATGAAGGAGGAGCCGTTGTGAAATTTTGCAAAGCTGGCGGAGTTTTTTAAACGTTTGACCAGAGTTCCTTTGGAAACAGAAGACGTGAGGACTTTAGCGAGCGCGCTGCGGGCGTCGGAGAGGTCCTTCCCTCGAAACAAAGTCAACAGATAGGGATCGGTGGCTTCGTGGAGATGAGCCAGCGACGGGCGTGAGGAGGACGAGGACGACTGTGGCTGTGACGTGTGAGGTGATGAAGACAGCGACAGGTTTACAGAGTCTGACTCATCGCTCTGCTCCTCCAGAGTGTTCAAAGAGTCTACAGGCCCTGGAGAAACAGGACAGACTTACCAACAGCTTCACATCGAAATTATTCTACTTCAAAGGCCTTCAACATTAGAAACCACTTAAACAATTGAAAACGGCTGCATGTCCAACAGAAATTCTGCACAGTGACCACAAAATCCACCTGAGTACACGTCTTCAGATCCCTTCACTTTATTGTGCTCTAGATGTGCTTGTGGTGTACGGTTTCCAATCAGCCTGAACTCATTAACCTCCCAAAGACGAAGGAAAACTGTTTTCTAATCAAATCTATCAGAAAAACCACTATTAGATTTGTTACCTGAATCATTCACCTGTAGCCACCAACAGTTTGAAGCTCAATTAGAAGCCTCGTGACACAAACATCTACAGGACAAGCCTCTGACTGTGTCTCAGTGGTCCAGCCAAAGCCCAGACCAGCACCAGAGAACATCTGTGGAGGGACCTGAAGACGACGGATCACAAGTGTTTCCCTCCCAGTTTGAAGGAGCTGAAGAAAAAAGCTGCCAGAAATAAAAAGGATAAACTCCCCAGGTGTGCAAACGCTGCAAAGACGAGCCCAACAAGACCAGAAGCACCAAACAGACGGAGCAGAAAACTTTTCTACATGAGAGGTTTTTAATTAATTTGGGAAAATTCCTAAAAACGAGTTTTCAGTTTGAGAAAAATGACAAAATTATTGATTTAATATTAAATCTAACACAAAAAGTGAAGGGGTCTGACTGCTTTCTGAAGTGACTCATTAAGTTATATTCTCATATTCAGACATAAACATGTTTTGAAAATGAATTCAAGTATCGAAATTATATTTAGTTTTATTGTAGTAACACAAATACTAATAATGGAGAAAGTCTGCACAGAAAACTGTTTAGTGTCAAAGAAAAACACCAAAATGAATCAGCAGAAGAATCAAGATCAAATAATCCAACATAAATAGATTAAAAACATGCATATACAATAAGATTAAAGAAGCATGCGACATTAAAAATGTGATTTTGTGGTAAAGAACATGAATCGTTTACAGATCTGCTCATTAAGGACCGGATCAGTCAGGTAATAGTTTTACAGAACGTTCCTGATCTTGTTTGACTGAAAGGCACAAAAAGCTCTTAACAGGAAAACACACAAAAAAAGAACAGAACAGACAGAAAAATAACAGAAAAGTACTAAATTTTCACCAACAAAAAAAAAACCAGCAGACAATTAAAACCAGTAGAACCGTAAGTGCAGCAGTGACGCACATCCATAAAGCCACTAAGACGGGAAGGAGGAAGAAGAGGCCGACGCAGGAGGAAGATGAAGAGGAGGAATAGGGATGGTGGAGGGAGGAGAGGAAAAGGAGACAGCAGCAGCAGCCTTCAACCAAAGCCTTCAGGAGACACAGTCTGTAAGCAGGGAGGAGAAAAGGCTCGGCTTCAGTCTACAGGCGTCCAGACGCTGCCCAGCTCCACAACCACTGGTTCATGAGTGAAACCAGTTCAGTCACTGGAACTCTAAACTTTCACAGAGCACCATGATGACAATAGGAGGGTGTTTATTGACCACTGATGGGAGGTGTTATTCCAGCATCACATGGACACCAGCTCAGCAGTGTGTCACAGATCACGGCTAAAAGACAACAACGAGGGAGTGAACTGAGACACACCGACGCTGCAATTTATTTCCTAATTACCACGCTGACAGAAAGCTTTTTAAAAATGTGCCCAATCAAGTGTTTCTGCCATAATTAGAGATCCTGATAACCTCCGTCTAATAACAACACGCCCATTGTCCAGCCAAGGCTGTGAAAGCAGTGCAAAGGAGCCATGCACAGAGGGAACCTGAACCCGGCCGACCAAAGCATATCAGACAGACTAATACAGGGCAATGAAAGCCTGGACAATAGAGGGATTTATCTGGAACACACTGAAGCCAATATGTTCTATGAACAAGGCTGTGGGTCACTTTAATTGCCCTGAACAGGGTTAAACTGCTCGGACCGATAAAAGCTACATTTTGCGCTGGATTTAACTGCTAAATCTTCCATTTGATGGCATTCGCTTTGACATTTTAATCTTGATTTAACTTCAATCTCTCTTGACCCCGCGCGACACTGACTGAGGCTGTAAGGATTTGACAGATACCAGAACTCAGCCCACTCTAAACCCATTTGATTTCCACTGGAATACTGTAAAAGGTCAATTGGGATTATTTTAAACAGCAGATTTTCTCTGCTCGGGTGTTTCACACAATCACCACTAGGGGGCAGAACAAACAGAAAGCAGCATGGCCTGTTACAGTAGAACAGCTGGGTGGTTACCAATAACATGTACTCATCCAGCAGCCTCCATCACAAACATGAAGTAAATCAGATCTTACCTGTGACGTCTGCCTGCAGCTCCTGCAGTGTGTCTGCACATGGAGGAGGTGGAGCCCTCCTCTTGGTGCTCCTTAAAGTAGACTCTCCAGACCTCTACAGAGAGACAACAGTGTTCTTGGTGGATGCTCCATTTATTCACCCACTTATTAACATCAAACAAGATTCCTCTAATTTCCCACCAGACCTCTCCAAGTGTTTCCTAAATGCTCGGATCAACAAACACTCGAGCCTCCTGCCCTCGGTGGACGGAGGTAAATGGAAAAACAAGATGAAGAGGAAACAGCTTTTTCCTTCTGAACCCCAAACCCACCTGTGCTCCTCTGAAATGGCAGGTGTTGAGGTTGTTGGGGACGCTCTGTGAGGCGCCCATGGGTGGCTGAGGGGCTCGCCTCTTCTTTGGCATGTCTGCAGGAAGGGTGTTAGAAGACGAGACACCCTCTGGATTCATATCTTCTCCTGCTAGTGTGCTGTAACCAGGAGAAGCCGGAGCACCACCTGCCACGCTCTACCAACAGCAAAACGTCACAATTAGCAGAGAAAACCTGCATTAAAGTAAAGTGAGCACGACTTTCCCCTCCAGTCTGACAACATGCCTTTTCTGGCTTCTTCTTCCTCCTTCTGAATAAGCTGAAGAACCCTGTGTTCTCCTTCCGCTGCTTCTCCTTCTTCAGCAGCTCTGTGTCATGTAAACAACCTTGATCAGTAAATTATATACAGCACAAACAGTGAATGAGCCCGTGCACGCTCTTGTTTCTGTGCGTTACCTCGTAGCGGAGGTGGTGGAATGACCTCTGCTGCTGTGACAGCTGCTGCAGACAGAAAACAGATTTGCCCACACAGATGAATCAGGTCAGATTGTACAATAAGAGCAGATATTTATACAGGAGCAGGCGTGCTGTGGGAATACAACGTCTTCAAAACATTATTTTAGATAAGCTTTGTTGGCTGCAGGGTTGTGTGAGAGCAACACGACTACAAACACTAATTTTGGGCAGACAAAGTGTAAGCGGAGCAGATCCCAGAGGCCTGACTGGAGGAATAATTCTGTGTTTGGCCGAGGCTCACCGAGTTATAGCGGTTAAACTGAATACACTTTCTTAACAGAGTTCAATGAAACTAATGACTTGCTAGGCTATACGTTTCCAGGAAGCTCTGTTATATTGGTTTATTTAAAGGAGCTCAACATTCTGCAGCTTCAGAAAACAGCTCACATGAGTTTATGGATTCTGTTTAAAAACCACAAACCGAGCTCACCGATATGAATGCAGCAACAACAGCATGCTGATAATTCAGCGCATTTCTGTATGTAGCTGCGTCTTCAACATCTGCTGTGTTATTCAAACCGGTGACAGTGATTTGCACATGATTTATTCACAGTGGGATGACCTCTCAGGGCCACCGTAGCTCAACTGAGATACAAAAAAATCGATCAAATCAAAATAATCTCAGGTTTCTGCTTTTCACGCAGCGAGCACTTTATTAGGAACCCCATCCTAACATATGGTCAGGCCTCCCTTTAAACCAGTGGTTCTCAAACTGGGGGTCGGGACCCCCATGGGGGTCGCCAGATCATTGTAAATAAATAAATAAAAATAAAGCCTACATTTATCGAATAAATGTGCATCAGGGCTGTGAAAATTAAAAGTGTATCCCACTCCTTTTTTGGACTCGTTAATATTATGATTTGATTATGCGAGATCATTATTCTTGTTTAAATTATTTTCTTTTGTTTTTATTATTTTTTCCCTTTTCATTTGTTCAAAATAAATTGAATTCATTCATTCATTCAAAACTAAATGAACGTGTTCATGTAAAGAGATTAATCTGTGGAATTAACACATTCATTTTAATGCATTAACGCACAAACAACAAAGTTATCACTCGTGTCATATTAGAAATTCAATTTGGGGGGTCACGAACACAAACGTCTGTGATCTTGGGGGTCGTAATCGCTGCTTTAAACAACCTCAGCTCTGGTGTCATGGGTTCCTGTCCGAACACATCCCGAATGTGTTCCACTGGGTTTTACTGTGAACATTAACTCCAGCTGTATGTGCAAACATGTACGCCACTGCTGCCACATGGGGTACTAGCAGGTGCTCCTGATAAAGAGCTCAGTAGAGATGCATCCATGTGTCGATGTGACATTGGGGTTACGTATCGTTAGAGGTTTCCATGTCAGCTGATGTACCTGCTTCAGGTGTCTTGGGTGGGTCAGTGGGGTCTTGAGCCGCCGTGTCTTTGGCAAAAACCTCCCTCAGCCCGTGGTCGTTTAAGGTCTTGGTCAGGTCCAGCGGCTCCTCGGAGTCAGAGTCTCTCAGGAGGACGGTTGTCGCTGCTTGGAGCTCACACTTGTCGCACACTGTCGGCAGCAGCGCCTCAAGCGGCAGTCTGGGATTCACCCGCACCACCGTCTTGTGGGACTTATTGTAGTTGATCAACAGACGCACTGTTGCCTGCAAAACAAATCACATTCTCTACTCACTTTTCTTACTGTGAAGTCAGCTGTAACTTTTAAGACTTTATTTTTTTTACCTCGGGCATGTACGGCCTCCTGATCTTCTCCTCCACCCCTCTGGGCTTCAGCACAAGCTTCTCGGCTTCCAGCAAGCCAATAGGAGAGTTCGGTTTGAAGTTGATGTTGTTCTTATTGGGCGAGAGAACTTCCACGGTGTAGTCAGAAGGATTCAGGTGGTGACTGGCACACAGAGTCACCAGCAGGTCCATCACTGGTTTACTGCACGGAGGAGAACACGTGATGAGATCAGACGGCCATGTTCATCCTGTGTCTGTGATTTTGATGATTACAAAAGCTCGTCTACCTTCCGTGCACCGTGGCCTTCTTCTCCAGCCCTCCTGGTAGAACCACACACAGCGAGTGGTCTCTCTCCAGCGGGTTCACCTGCTCATCCATCGCAGTGGCCCTCAGAAACCTCAGGGGGCCACCCAAGATCTGGTGCTGCTTCCACTGTCAGGTAGACCTCCTGAGAGACACGACGCATTCCAGATATTTATACCTAATAATGCTCATAAATAAAACAATCCAGCTTATCCAGATATATCCTAAAATAAGGCCCAAGAGAGCTCAAGCCATTTTTGAATATTCTGCATTGATGTCAGTGTTAAATGTCTTCATGAAAACCTCTCATTAGTCATTAATGTGACCCCTCCTGTTTGCTACATAATTAGCATTTGAAAATAATCCGTTCCTGCCTTAAAATCACTTAGATGTAAGTCTGTGTTGTTGATTTCTGGATCTGGAGCCCAGAAGTCTAAATCTGTGGGGGGGTTTTTTTTTCTAGTGTTTCAAGGTAGAAATGTTCAGCCATGTTTCTGAGAGCTTCTTCTTCTTTTTGCTTAAGGTGTAAAAAAAACAAACACAATATGAGCATGTTCACGAGATTTAAGAAGCTTGATTGACTACTAAACTACAGGAAAACCTAAAATAACACACTGTAGGGCTGCATTTTAGTTACTTGTTCATCTGTAAATTAATTAGTGGACCAAATTATTATTTGGTCTAATAAAAAATCTGAAAAATGCCCCCAAAATTCAGCAAATATTCACATATAAGTAACAATAATCAGAATTCAGGTCTTATTCGCTGTTAAAGACGATTTACATAAATGCTCTGCTGGACTCAGGTTCTGGTTTATTCCAGGCCAGAACATTATTTATCTTGTGCTGTAGATATTTACAGATGAGATGATGGGTGAGGCTTCTTCTCCCTCTTCAGTAACCTTTACTGACAACCAGCCCCGTAAGGCAAACATACAGAGTTCAGTGTTACCTGAAGTTGTTCTTAAAGCAAGACGGTCCAAAAACATCCAAACTACCTCCGTGGAAAATATCCAACGAGCGTCCCTGAACGACAACCTCTAACTTTGAAGTGTTTCCGTTAAAAACCACGGAGCGCCTTTGGACCGGGTCTCCTCAGCTCTCTGTCTCTGTCTTCACCTTTGACCTCGGGTGGAACTTTACTTCTTTATTTTTTAACGTTTCGGTTCCGCTCGGGTCTAGTTTTAAACCCGAAGTGCAGCGGCGCGTGCCATCAAATCAGCTGTGCGGTGGAACTGTTCATCAGTGCGCGCGTGCCACACCGGGTTCCCCCCCCCGTTGCGCACGCGCACACAAACGGGGGTGACCGAGTCCAAACTGACGGAAATACGTCACATTTACTGTCTGACATACATTAAAACAAGTCAAATTAAATTTAAAAATATATATTTTTTGATTTATAACGTTTGGCATAAAACTAATAACGATAATAAATGTAAATAATAATTTAAAAAATAGCAGCTCATTGACTTATTACCTTGTTTATATTAAAAATAGTCCATTTTCAACCATGTCTAGTAGTTCTGTTTGTGTTTACTCGAAAAATTAGATCATTTCTTTCAAAAGTAAATTATGTTAAAAGTATAGTTGACATCTATAGGGTCACTAATTCAATTCACTTTTATTTGTATAGTTTACAACACATGTCACCTCCCAGCACTTAACATAGTCAGACCTTGTGAAGTCAATCAGAGAACCCAACAATCCATAGCTGCCTTTGGACTCCCTCTGAGCAACACAACAATGTGTGTTAGTGCCACAAACAGCAGAAGATCCCCTCAGCCTGTCTGTCGCCATGTTGTTCAAGCAGTAAAGCTGAGTTCCAAATAAGCTTACTCTGGTTCTGGAGTAAGAGGGATTAGTGCCTTTAAAAGTCTCCTCATGCTCTACCACATTCAGCGCCTAAACACTTCAATTAATTATGTATGTAACCTGTTGCACCTACCTGTGTCCACACCTTGTTCCCATTCTCCTTCAGCTTTCTCTTCTGTATTGTTAAGTGGCGGGATACCAGAGGGAAGGGAAGAGAGGGAGAGCTAGGAATCCTGTTCTCCTGTAATCCCTGTTTAGTAGACAAGTCTGCCACACCTACAGGCCCTGCCCCGTCATGTGACAGCACTTTGCATGTCTGTGTGTGTGTGTGTGTGTGTGTGTGTGTGTGTGTGTGTGTGCTTTGTGGGTGGTGGTGGTGGTGGTGGTGAAACAGGGAGGGGAGGGGGGGCATCTGCACGGGCATGCACCTGGTAACCTGGTGAACCAGTCTGCAGTGTGAAAGCTCTTCTCCAACCACATCAGTGTTAATAGTCAATTTGTAAAAAGGCTCCTAATCCACGTAAGCTACTGATCCTCTCTGTAGGATCTGCCTCAGTTATTGCTGATCAGCAGCACACTGTGGAGCAGAGGGTTTTATCTTTAAGCAACGCTGCTCCGTGTTTACTAAAATAAAGCTAACACACATACCTGGATGGCTTGTTCCCACAGAACACTGCCTGAGCTAAATGACTGAGGAACACTTTACCAGTGAATTAACCATCATCAGGAGAAACGGCAGCAACGTCTCACCTGACAGTCGTGTAGAGTTCAGAGCAGTATCGACCTTTCACCTTTGCACAGGACTGCTTTCGCTCCATTGGAAAATCACACACTCTTGCCGGTGCTTAGTTTTCTCTGTCAAAGTTTGCGTCTCCCCCTCACTGTATAACAAGAGGCCGGTTCATGTCAGTCCTCTCAGACCTGTTGAGGCCTTGTGGGTAATGTAGTAACCGGTTTGACGCGCTTGAGGGAAACCGAAGGCGGTGCTAACGGCTGCTGTAGCGTTACACGGAGCTCCTGATTCATCTGCATACAGTAGGTGTGCAGTAAGAGGCTCTTAAGTGGGAGGTTTAATCAAATTAAGCACGTGGAACACATGTCCACGCCGACTGTAATCTTGTAATCTCATTGTGAAGTCTGCCAGTGGAGATTCACTGGAGCAGGAGCTGGCTGCAGTAGACAGATCACAGTGGGACTGTCTGGGTTAATGAACTTCTTTTGATGACTAACAGATAAACAGAAAGCCTGTTTAGTCACACCATCCACGGTGTTGCTCTGCATCATCACTTGTTTTGAAGCGGACGTGGACACGTGCACTGCAAAGCTTTAACTCCACTGAACAGGCAGAAGGGATGCTGTCACTGTGCTTCCATCGATCTGCATGGATTCACTGGTGGATGAGGACAGTAGAGCTGAGGCTGTTCCACCCTGGACCAGCTATGTGTGATAAAATGAATGGCGTGATATGAAAAGCTTCATTTTTCCGGTCGAAGGAAATCAAAATGACAACAGCATGAGTTCATTTCCGGGTGTTATCCTCCACTCATCAGTCAGGCTGATGTAAACTCTATTTCTGAACAGATTCATGTAAACTCAGGAAGTTTTTATGCAGCAGTATTCAATCTATGTTCTGTTTTTCTGTCTGAACATTTACAGAAAATGTACATATACATACACGTTCATCTGTAGCAGAACACAAGCTCACGTAAACCGACTTTGTTTTTCCAGCTTTTCTGTAAAACAGGGCCACAGCCAGAGACAGGGGGCTACTGCAGAGCACAAAACAAAGCGACAAAGCCAAATGGAAGCCTCTCCTTCGAGCAACCTAATTCTGACATCCCACAGTCTGAACAAGGCTCCCAAATTCATCACCCGGCCTCTAATGAAACACACACCAAAGTCACAGCGAGCTGCCAAGGAGGACGTCTACGGACTCAGCTCTAGAGACGCTGTTTGGAGGCCTTCCTGTGTTCCTTCCAGCGCTTTGTATTTGAATATTGCTGCTGTGGAAACATAAATATCAATTAAACAAGGCAACGCCCTTAATTCTGCTGCCTCAGTTGGCAGTACGTTAAACCGTATTGTAATTTGTATTGACTACATAACTGATAACTGTCAACACAACTTTGTCTGAAACCATCTTTTGCTCTCATGCTTTATTTAGTTGGCTTATATGTTGGTCATCTAAACACACTGATCAGCTGAAACACCATCATAACAGGAGTTTATCTGCAACCACAAGGTCTGTTTGAATAATTCTTGTGTCATAATAAAAGAAACACTAGTAAGATGTGTTCAGACGTGTAAATATCAGCATATATGTTCCTGGTTCAGAGTAAATGAAGATGGCACACAGCACAGAGGAAACGTTTTCAGGTTCACCTGGACAGGTAACCAGTCTATCACAGGGCTACACTTAGAGACAGACAACCAAGCACACTCACATTCACACCTACGGACAATTTACAATCACCAATTAACCTCAGCATGTTTCTGGACTGTGGGAGGAAGCCGGAGAACCCGGAGAGAACCCACGCTGCACGGGGAGAACATGGAGACTCCACGCAGAAAGATCCCAGGAGTCCTCGGACCGGCGACCTTCTCGCTGCGAGGCGACGGTGCTAACCACTGAGACACCGTGCAGCCCCACCTTGGACAACCAGCCAACCATGATTAGTGAAAGAAAACACCCATGTTGTGGTAAGTTGGATGGAATAATGGTTAACTGGGGCTCAGTGCAATCATGGCTACAGGGGCAGCTATTCTGGCCCTCCAGTTCATTTTTGGGTTGTGGTAAGATGGTGATGGCTGGAAGCACCCTGAGCTTCAAAACCGGCATAATGTCAGGGAGGGTTTTCCATTACTATGTATAGGCAATGGCTGTTACTGCTGAGAAGAAATCATTTTACTTTAGATTTTGTGGTTCACTTTGCTATAGTTTAACCTGGAGAACAAACACACTGAATGTAATCTGTGCTGGATAAAAAGTACAGAAGAAGTTCTGGCAGAGCAAATGGTCCCTGACTATTTGGTGCCATTTTCAGAGGTTAATATTGCTGTGAGCTCACAGTAAAAGATGACAGGGATGAGTGATCAGCCTCTTTGTTTTGGCAGCCTGACTTTAATAAGGAAATCATGTCGGGTGGAAATTAGGTTTACATTTGCACCAAACATGGACTTTATGGTCTGCTTGGATGTTTGAAACAGTTGTCGGCTGTGTTCTCGTGGTGAAGTGAAAGTTCCTGCTGCACCCATGTGAGAGTGACATGCTGCAATGAACACAAGGGTGTGTCCGCCTCAGCTGACTGAAACTCTGCAGCTGTCTGTCTTTCATTTCCCAAATGGAGTTTAGCTGCCTTTTCAAATGAAACATCTCTGAAATGTGCCCCATACATACACCGTTTGTGAAATTTAGTTTGGTGGCTGTGTCCCTTATTGTGGAGATGACAGCACATATAAACACAGATTTTGCTGGTGGATATGTCCCCTTTAATATTTACAACACATGCATTTGTTCCCCTTCCCTGTGAAAGAATCAGGAGCACAACGTTACTAACAGATGCAGTAATGCCTCAGACAGAGCCACAGCTTTTTTCCTCAGCAGCAGGTCTTATTTACTCTCAAAATATGAATTATGAGCTGATATAACCACAGAATCTATTGTGGAAAATATCATTAGATCCGTATTTGCCACCAGGAGATGGAATTCTGGGTTTTCCTAAGACACAAGTTGATGCAGAAAATGCAGGAGCTGGTGCATAAAAATGAAAAGAATATCGTAAAAGAAGTGCGAGACCCTCCGACTACTGCGTCTTCCCCAATACTCACACCGAAATCAATACAGGGCATGACACTCTCACTGCATTAGTTTCACAAGGGCTCCATTTTCCTCCCAACTAGAGAAGACAACAAACTTTCCATCATGTAGGCGTTGCGTAATCGAGCCTGGGTGTAATTGAAGAGGCTCTCCAGCAGGTGGCAGGAATCCACAAGAAACCATGCAGACAGAGTGCAGATGTTCACCAAGGTGGGCTTCACATGCCTGAGAACCCAATTCAGACTGTTAGCAGCCTTTAAATGTCATCTTTTATGTAAAAAAAGAAAAGAAAATCTATATCTGTAGCCTCCAACTTGTTAAACCATCAATAACTTCACTGAGGATAGAATTAATTTATTTATCCCAGACCTGGGAAATTATTGCGGTTAATCAGCAAAAAAGAAAACACCAAATCACAACAAGAAAGGGCTAAAGTTAAATACTAGTAAAAATAATAATAATAAATATAAATAAAATAAATAAACTAACTGTACAAAATGTACAAATTGACAAACAGTGCAAAAAACCCCAAAACTAAGCATTTTACAGAGTAGAGAGCTGCTCTCTGCCTCATGGATATGGATGCATATTAACTTTATACTGTGGTAACCAGTAAAAAAAAAGATTTTTAACTTGTAGGATTGGGAGTGTTGTGTTGCCAAAAATAGAAAAAAGAGATTTTAAAAAAGAGAATTAAAAAAAAAAAAAAACAAAGTTGTAATGTGGCTCAATTAAAAAAATCCAGTAAATATAACTGAAAAAGAAAATAGATTAAATGTTTAATAATCAGATTAATAAACTCAAGGCAGTAATAATTATAGTGCATGTAGATTTAGTAAGTTAAGTACTGCCGCTCCAATTAAATAAACCCACTACGGGTCGTCACAGATGAGAGGTGAGAGCTCTTCCAGAACCGAACAGTCCGGTTCAGATTGTTAATGATCCGGATGCTTGAGGATGAACACGGACGTGAATAATGAGGCGGGTCGGTGTGTTTGGCGGCTGACAACAGGTTGCCGCTGCTCCCCTCCTCTCGTCACTGATATGTTCTAGAAGTGTTCGGGCCATGTTGCGACAGCTCCGAGGACATTCATTCCCAGCCTAACCAACCGGAAGCGCGGATTGATTTCTCCACGGCGAGCAAGGGCGGCTAAAAAAAAAAAAAAAACAGAAAAGAAAAAGAAAAAAAAAATCAAAGAAGCGTTTATTAAATCCATCAGCGGGATTTCTCTCAAAGCAAAAGAAGCGTTTTAATCTCGAATTAAGAGGCTTTATTTGAGGATTAATTTGAGGGATATGGGAGCTACCTTCGGGGTCCCCACCTGCTGGGCACCGTAATGGTGGTGAGTATCTCTGGACTCTCGGTCGCTTTATTCCGTTTGACAGCTTAGCCTCACTCCAAAGTGCTCTCACCGCATTTCTTTGTCGAGATAATACACCCCGGAGCTATTCTTAGTCTTTTGTACAAACATTTTAGTGTGTTTTGTTGTTGTTGTTGTTGTGTGTGTGTCTTCGTGTATTCTGTCATTGATATTCCTCCGCTAGTTGCGCGCGTGACACAGCCGCTTACATTTCATTAATATTATTATTAACGTTTGTCTTTAAGGTTTTAATTACAGAGAAGTGTAGTTTCCGGTTAATTTAGTTCAAACACGCTCTTTTTTAAAGGCTGGTTAATTCCCATCCACAGGTGCTAATTTGCTAATTTTCATGCTAATAAAATGAACAAAAAATAAGCACGTCGTGACAAAACCAGCTAATGTCAGGAGCTAGGAGAGAATAGTCCCCTCAGATACTGGGCCTTATGGTGGGCAAATTCTCTTTTATTTTTATTTTTTTTTTAAACACAAAATGGGAGGACAGTTAGAGAGCATTCATACAGGTAGATTCAGGTAGAAGAATTTAAACAACAGAACCAGGGCTGTCTGTGTGTTTGTGCTCTGCTCTGTGTAGGACATTGATTAGAAGCAGCACATCTGGCCAGGACACGCCCAGACTCATTCACAGCCAGCCGCTGCCTCAGAGTTCACATTTTACATCCATCTTTTTTTCCTCCTCACTGACACATTAGTGCGCTTAGATTGATTGGTTTAATTGGATAACGTTCTGGAAGTGAAAACAAATAATCCTGCTTTTGCTCAGAGCCGCTTCAACCGCAGCTCGAGGACCTCCAGGTGGCCCCCGGACCTAAGTTTAGCAACCACCGGTTTCCGGGGGAGAGAAGGGGGGGTGGCTGCTGCTGCCGCTGAAAAACCTCAGTCGGTCGCTCACCGGTGTGTGTGTGTGTGTGTGTGTGTCTGTACATAGCCGTGCCTTTCTTCTCGTGTGTGTGTGTTTTTGTCGTGCTGCTGGAGGGAAGACATGATGGCCGCGACTCGCTCTCATTTCTGTCTAATGTGACGTATCAAAGGTTTTTCGGAGGTAACGCGGAGGCATCATCAACATGGCGACAGCTGCTGCGGCCCCCTCGGCTCGTTGTGAAACCGCGACAGTTCAGGTACCGTCTCCCACCAGCCGCCTCTCAGTCTGTCTGTTTGTAAGTTACTTCCAGCAACACGCTTTAAAGCCAGTCTCTGTCTGTCTGGAGCTCATAGCTGGTTAGAAATCAAGATAGACGCCACCTTTGGCAGGTACAGGTGGAAACCACCCCAAAGTGCTTTCAGGTAAACCTGCTCCAGAGACGCCAGTGTGTCGCCTTATTACAGACTTTAGTGTTTCTACTTCAGTCCTCCTCTTGTTTAAGCACCATGGACAGCGGCGCCCTCACAGTCAGCTGAGCAGCTCAGGTAGACTGATCAGGCAGGTGATCTGATAGCTGGAAGTGGTTTGTTTCCTGAGATCTTTAGCATCATGGTCAGTCAGTCAATGGAAGAATGGACACGAGGGCACTTATTGTTGTGGAGGTGTTGTGGGGCTTACAGGCACCTTAAAGGTCAGACCCACTGATGGCCATGTCATGTCCATATGCACCGTAAGACAGCTTTTATGGATGAATCTAAAACAGACGGATGAAGTCTGAGTGGGGACTGTTGTTTGACGAACAACTTGAAAACATGTGACTTCATCCTTCACTGAGAGGACCTCAGCAAGACTTAAAGCATTAAAAAAGACCTTGCATGACAGTTTTAATGTACGTGGTTGTACTCAGGGCTGTGTCATGTAGATGCACGCTGCCTGCAAGCAAAGCAAGAAAAATTAGCTCAAACACATCATGTTACAGCTGCATGGTGGCTCAGTGGTTTGCACCGTCGCCTCGCAGCTAGAAGATCTTCCTGCGTGGAGTCTCCATGTTCTCCCTGTGCAGCGTGGGTTCTCTCCGGGTTCTCCGGCTTCCTCCCACAGTCCAGAAACATGCTGAGGTTAATTGGTGGTTCTAAATTGTCTGTAATGTGAGTGTGCTTGGTTGTCTGTCTCTAAGTGTAGCCCTGTGATAGACTGGTTACCTGTCCAGGTGAACCTGCCTTCACCCTGAGTCAGCTGGGATAGACTCCAGCCCCCCATCACCCTAGTGAGGATTAAGGTGTAGAGATGATGGATGGATGGACTTTGTTGACATGCAGACTCCACACGTTCACAGCAAAATGCACCAAGAACAGGAAAGACTGAAAAGGAAAGTTTGTTTGCAAAAAGAAATGTGACGTCAGTTGTGTGGAGACACTTAAACACCAAAAACAGGAACTCTGAGTTCAGTGTCTTGCAGTTGTTGCTACTGCTTGAGGCACCTTAGTAATTTGTTTGACCGTCAGCACCACAGAGCTCTGTGTGACGGGACCCAACCCAGATCTGAACGTCATCCACAGCAGAAAGAATGACTTCAGATGCCTCTGGCAGTGTTGCTCCATATGACAAAGGTTCCAGCAGATGACGCTTGACGTATCTAAATAAGACTGAATCTGTGCTGGAGACAGTCACAGGGGCCTGTCTGTGTGCGACTGCTTCCTCCCTCATTTATACTCTCAGCGCCAGGACACATACAAGTAGAAAAACGTCTGCCGTCCCTGCGTGTTCTCGGTCTGTCATGTTCTGTTTGACTCCGGGCCTGACCGCGCTGATAGCCGGGCTCAGAGGTGGGTGTGAGTGTTGGGTCGATCAAACCTAACAACCCCCACCACCCAGCAGCTCACGCCAGACGAGCTGTCAGGCCATACATCATAACACTAAGTCCTGGGGCAGTCTTTGGGACGCAAGCAGATGTGTTTTATGAATCCCTACTATGGTAGAAGCTACAGTTAATTCACTGCTTGTGTTCGATGAATTCCTAGGTTAGTGTAATAATCCTCCATTCCAGTCATGATGGAAGGTCTCCTCTGTTTTACACCAATCAAAAAATCTAAGTCTCATCAAAAATACATGAGGATTTGTGATAGAAGTTAACATTTCCAGTGGTAAAAGCACATAAAATACTTACAGTTTGGCCTTGTCAACATTTTTTCTAAATTAGCTTTTCTGTGCATGTTGGCCTTTCATCCACACACAAATGCATTTTAACTCACTGAGAATAACTATTCTGGATGATGGCAGTGGGCTGTTGCCCCATTTTCATTTGGAAAAAGAAAGAACAGCCGATGAATCAAGGATGCGGCACTTTTGAAATCCTGCCAGAGGGGAGGTTCCTGTTTTCTGGGCCAGTCCACAAGGACTAGGACTCACCTGTGAGACTGCAGAGACTAGGAGGCACCGAGCACCTACCGGTAATGGCTCACCAGGGTTTTTTGGGAAGATTTTGTTTGTGTGCCTTTCCACTGCTTCCTGTGGGAGCGAGTCGGCCTCCGAGTGTGAAGGGTGGTACAGCGTGTTGTTGACATGGGAATCTGATGTCTCTGCTGATTGAGGCAGGGTGAAAAAAAACGAGGATAATTACTGTCTGCTGCGTCTGTTTCTGCTGAAAGCTATTGTGAAACCAGTTAATTTTTTTCTAATTTGAGGCCATTAACCAATTAATTAGCAGGAAAAGGACAGTGTGTTTTCTAGAACTCCACAGAAGCCACTTTCTCCATTAGCCAAAATGCAGCAATAAATAGATTAAGACAAATGGGGGGAAAATGAGTGGGATCATATTCTATATCTTTTTTTTCTCTGAGCTACCCATGTCAGTCGTTGCTGGCTATTTCGGTGTCCCTGTGAGTCAGTAGTCACCATGCCTTCGACATATTGTTTTCAAAGTCAGACCCCCTTTTTTACTGCCTCTCTAAAGCCTCCACCCTACCTTTGGCCTCTAACTGCTCTGATTAAATTGTTCTACCCAGTGGACAGTGTGACGCACCACTAAGGAGACAGCTTTTTCTCTCCAAACTACGTCAAAACAGACTGAATTTAATCAACGTAACACATGAAATTGCACTGAACTATTGTATTAAATAGTAAGGCGCCGAAATTGATGTCGATTTGCATCTTAATGTGCTCTTTTCATGTGTTTTTTCTCCCCCGTCCTTTTAAATGCATCCATATCTTTATTAACCTCTTTAATACCAGTATGCTGTGGGTACAAGTCACCGGCCGTTATATAAGGTAGTTATGGTCGAAATACGAAGGTCATGTTCATTTTTAACATGTCCATTACGTTAAGAGCGTATTATGTAAAAGTGATGACAGCGTTCTTGCAAGTTTGGACCTGCGACATTTCCACAATACTTTGAACAGAGTGTGAACTGAGTGAATCAGATCAACGTAAAGGCTGCAGCACAAAGATAGAAAGTTCTCCTGTTCTCTTATTATATATTTTTTAATGCACCAGAGGTGAAGGCAGGTTCACCTGGACAGGTAACCAGCCTATGACAGGGCTACACTTAGAGACAGACAACCAAGCACACTCACATTCACACCTACGGACAATTTACAATCACCAATTAACCTCAGCATGTTTCTGGACTGTGGGAGGAAGCCGGAGAACCCGGAGAGAACCCACGCTGCACGGGGAGAACATGGAGACTCCACGCAGGAAGATCCGGGGTGTCCTCACCGGGATGCAAACCAGCGACCTTCTTGCTGCGAGGCAACGGTGCTGACCACTGAGACACCTGCAGCCCGTGTCCAGTTTATGATCACATGAATTCATGACCAAAATCTTTCTTTCTCATCCAGCATTTGTTTGTCTGTCTTAGAGAAGTTGTTCTGCCTCCATAGACACCAACTTCTGCTCTAGAACATGATAGAAGCTACTCGGACCATTTAGAATGATGTAGAAACTACATGTTCTCATACATTTTGACAGTTTCCAGGGTTATGAACAATTTTGGATGTGAACTGTTCGTATGAATGAAAAAACAACAACAACACAAATAGTTTTTTATCACTAACACCTCTACCCTGTGTCTAACTGTCTTTCGTCCAACTCCAGGTCGTCCTTTTCTCTTTTTAAAACATTTTTACGTCCAGTTCTCACGACTCTCCATCGCCTTTGTGTGCCATCACGGCCCATTGACAGATTTCCTCGCATTCTGTGTGAACACACAGAGAGCATCTGGGTGGTGTGTGTTGCTCATTGAAAACTGGCTAACCTGTTTCTCAACTTCATATTTGTATGTCCTAGTAAATCTAGAAAGAAGTGACATTCTATATGCGTTGGTTCTTTTATTAAAGTAAAAGCTTAATATCAATTGGGTATTTTAATGTTACGTGCCAGAAAGAAATCAGTATACAGTAATATAGTTGTTGATGTTTTTTTTAATGATTTTGGTTCACGTACCAGTGAACAAGAAGGTGTGTTATCACTTTCCTGCCCTCTTGTGTGGTGGTAGGTGTTGGTAGACCAGCAGCTGTGTTTTTCATGAGGGGTCATTTTTTGTATTATTTTATACACACCGCTGTGACTCAAATGCAATGCATGATGGGGGGTTGATAGAGCCTTAAATGTTACACGTCTGGCAGCTTCAGTAAGGGGAGAACCTTTGTTCATCCCATTTCCTCAGGCAGGTTTCCTCCCTGCAGTATAGAATGATCCAGGTAGATGAATTGGCCCCCATTGGTGCCAACTGTTTTCATGCCCTGACTCATCTCAACCTGGTTCCCTTCCCTCTGCAGCTCCCTGCCTCAGCTGAGCCCCTCGCTGCTCTCTGAAGGAGCAGGATGACAAGATGGCACAGCTGCTTGTACCGCCCGGACCTGACAGCTTCCGCCCCTTCGTCCCCGAGTCGCTGGCCGCCATCGAGAGGCGCATCGCCGAGGAGGAGGCCCGGAGACCGCGGGCGGAGCGCCGCAGTGACAGTGACGATGAAAACGGGCCAAAGCCCAACAGCGACCTGGAGGCGGGGAAATCGCTCCCCTTTATCTACGGGGACACCCCTTCCCACCTGGTGTCCACCCCTCTGGAGGACATGGACCCCTTCTACAGCAATCAGAAGGTCTGGTTGGATCGTTCAGCTTATGAAAGAGGAACATTTATAGATCAATACGTAACACATTGACTGTCAAAGCATCATCATGTATACTAATTTAGCTTTCAGTACGGTGTGAGTCATGTCATGGAGTTTTGATGCATTACGGCTCTGCACAGAAACTAAAAGTCAGCTGGCCGATGCTCTCAGCAAACTATGTTAAGGAAACGCGTATGATGCAGCAATTTCCTCCCACACAGACAAACTTCTGCTAAAGAAAGATATAATAACCGAGGACGTACGGAGGTTTTCAGCTTTTAACCCGAGGGCACGTTGCTTCTTTATGAAAGGGCAGATTGTGCTTCGTCATGCAGACCACAGAATCAGATTCTAAAATATGATGCATCGTGAGAACAGTCTCCAGCTCACTAAGGAATCTTACTGTGTTGTTTAGTCCTTGAAGTTTTATTATCTTAAAAACTGAAAAATAAAGGCAGGGTCGTGAGCCAGCCTGCTTTTAATGCAAATGTTTTGAATGCAAATCAAATGTATTTTTTAATATTTGTGACCCTGCTTATTCTTTAAAGGTACTAAAATCCATTTGTAGAACATTGTTCAACAGCTGCTTGCACATAAATACATCATAATCCTCTAAACTATACTGTAAAAAAAGGGCCTTAATATAGAAATATTGAGTGCTTTTACTTTTAACGGTAGAGGCCAGCTGTATGTCAACATGCTCGTCCATATCAGAGCCTTCATAACACAAGCCAACAGAGGTGCTAAATGCTAATCTGCCAGTTGGACTGCGGTGGACTCATCCAGCTTAACAACCGCCGCCCTTGTGCAGTGGCTGGATGGAGACCAGCTCAGTCCCTGCTGCTCTTACGACAGGTTTTCTAAAGCAGGCACGATGAGCAGATATCACAGAACACATGCAGGTTCATGAAACGCCATTTCAGCATTGTTTACGTCTCGTGAACAGACAAAGTGTTGCATAATGCAGACTGTAACCAGGTTGTGTTCTTTGTCTCTTTCAGACCTTCATAGTATTGAATCGCGGGAAGGCAATCTTCCGTTTCAATGCCACTCCTGCCTTGTACATCCTCACCCCTTTCAACCCTCTAAGAAGGATAGCTATTAGAGTTTTAGTGCACGCATATCCTTTCAGAGTTTACGTAGCTTTATTTGGATTAAAGGATTTATTAGACAATGGAGGAAATTAAACGTGCTGCTGATAAGGAGTAAATGCAGCGACTAGCTCAGCCTTCCTATGCAGACGTATGTTAGGATTTACAGCATGGATGGTGATCGACGGGGAAATGTTGTTTAACTGCTGGGGGGTTGGTTGGAGTGTTTCTTGGCTGAATGTCCCACAGCAGCTCCAGTGTGTTCCTTAACCGGTGGTCCTACGCTGTTCAGCATGTTGATCATGTTCACCATCCTGACCAACTGTGCTTTCATGACCCTCAGTAATCCGCCAGACTGGGCCAAGAATGTAGAGTAAGTCTCTTTCTTTTTATCCTGATATGAGCATGACTCTGATTTTTTAAGGGTAGAGACACTCCTTAGATAATAGATAAGGTGTAATATTAACATTTTGATGAATTCTTTATTATCCAAATTAATCTGTTTTTGTTAAATTCACAGTTCAAACACAGCTGTGGGTGAACGATGCGATGTGATGCCTCGTTATGTAAATGTAAAGAACAGCAGTGTTACCGGTGTGTAGGCCCATGGCTAACTCAATCACCGTGTCTGAAATCACTCCCACTTTTCCTCACCCACCCAGCTGTTAATTTTCTCATCTGTGCTAAAGAATAAATGAGTCCAGACGTAGTGGCACATTTGCATCCAGTGGGAGGGAAGGTAATGATAGGAAGGACTGGCATATGACTTGTGAGCGCTCATGTTATCTGGACACAGATCAAGCCGCTCTTCTTCTTGTGGTGCTGCTTCTTATTCATGACTGAAGATTCCAGCTGTCTGAATCAATCAGCGCTGAGCAGAATAGACTCAAATGTTAGCTACTGCTTTCTCAATTAACGGGCTACCTCGCAGGCGAATTCATGGCGTCTGCGCAGGACTGTAATCAGAACAAAGTGTAATAATGTCGGTTAAAAATAGCCGCTGTGTTCAATATGTGACTGTAATAAATATCAGTGTTTAATGACCTTCTGCAGCTGGTTTGAGCTGATGTAAGAAATCCTTGCTTACCTGCTTTGATCAGATCTTTTAGAGAACTTTCTCAGTCATCCCACAGTTTATTAGCAGGAAATCAGTAATTCAGCTGCATTATGAAGTCAATGCAGCACAATAGCTCCTGTCTGAATCCCTTAAAGTGCTGTTGCTCCAAAACTTCTTGTTCAAACACCCCAAAGGAAGGAAATGGAGTGACAGAATGAGTGAAGATTATTCGTTTTTGTTCACTACCTATATGTATTTTAATATTAGTTAGGCTTGGAATATGAAACAAACATCGTTTGCACACAATATTTATTCATGAACAGATATTCTCTTTGTGATGAAAACCCCTGGAAAGACAGGGGAAAAAAAACATTGCCAATAACACAATGTTTTATTATTTTAAAGCATAGTTATACAAACAGTTTTATTAGAGAGCAACAGCAATAAAACTTCTAATCCACACGTATCATCGCTGACTTTAAAGTTGGTGGAATTCTTGAAAAACAAAAAACCGACAGGAAGTGACAGGAAGAGCCTTTAAATAGAGGAAATAAAGACGGAGCTTCAAAGCAGCCTGTTCAACGGGTTCAGGTTCTGCACCAAATAAACATTGTGCAGGAGGTTTCTAAATCTGGAGCAATAAGAAGTCGTGGAAACACTGAGAGTTGATGCCAGAAACAACTATAGTTTCTCAAATTTCATTTTCTCCTGAGCCCTCACCCCCAATAAGCACGGCTACAGCTCCACCGACTATCAGAGCAGATTAGCAAACACTTAGGAGATAATCTAATAATCTGGAATCCCACCACAAAAATGAACATGATTGACTAAAGAGGTGTGAGGATGCAGTGATACAGGTAGAGACTCATCACCACGCTGCATCTGGACGCATCTTGTCCTTATTTCATCTGACTCTTCATGTCCTCTCGTCCTCACCTTGTTCACCAGGTACACATTCACAGGGATCTACACCTTCGAGTCCCTCATAAAGATCCTGGCCAGGGGCTTCTGCGTGGGGAAGTTCACTTTCCTGCGAGACCCGTGGAACTGGCTGGATTTCAGTGTTATCCTCATGGCGTAAGTATTACGACAAGCACGGTTAGGATCAGCTTAACGTGATCTGGCGTAGATTAAGAGGCCAAATGCTTTTATGCTAATCAGCCCAGCGGCCTATTGACTCCCACTGAATGTGAGAATAAGAAGAGAGAGAAGGGTAATCTGCAGCCTGTTGGTGTGCATTTTGAATCTTGACTCCACTGTCTTCAGAAAGGACATAAGCCCCCAAAGCGAGGAGTATCTTGGCCCATATTTATCTCATGCCTCAGTGATCCCAGTCTGCATTGTAGTGCATGTTTTTTTGTGATCGTAGTATTTGTGGATGTGAAGAACTACACACTGCTCACGTAATATAATAAGACTCTAATCTTGTTTAGTGGAAGAGATTCCTGTAAGGCTTGTGTGGAGCTGCTTTCATTTCTCCTGTGTCTGAGCACGTGTAATGGGTTTACCTGTGCATTGCTGTGTAGTAACTGTGCATTTAATCCTGCAGGTATATAACAGAGTTTGTAAACCTAGGCAATGTTTCAGCTCTGCGCACGTTCAGAGTATTGCGAGCTTTGAAAACTATCTCAGTAATCCCAGGTAAGGCTGCCGCGCCTGCTGCCAGCACTCCTGCCATTTGTCCTCTGTGCGTGACCGTTTGCCGTTCCCTCCTCTCCCCTCCTCCCCCCTTCCCGTGACCCTCCTCTTGTCTTGCCATGTGTGTGGGTGCCTGACTTGCGTGTGCGTGTGTGCGTCCACACCTTTCCCGACATGCCCCCCTACCCGACCCCCCTGCCTTCCCTTCCCTTCCCTTACAGATATGTCACAGAGTTTGTGGACCTGGGCAATGTCTCAGCACTGCGAACCTTCAGGGTTCTGCGAGCCCTGAAAACTATATCAGTCATCCCAGGTGAGAGTGCCATCAAGGCCCGTAGGGTAAATGAACTGCTGACGGCTAACTGGCATTTCGCTAACATCCAAACACACCCTTCCTCGCCCCCTCTCAGCTCATCTCACTGTAGCTAAGCCTGGCGGCGCCCGACGCCGCCCCTCATGCTGCCTTCGTTCCAAGGCCAGTAAAAGCTGGAATCTGGCTCCAATCTGCACAGATTGACGGGATTCTCGGCTTTTAGTTACATCCTTTAAGGCAGAATTCTTTTTGGTTGAAATCTATTCTTGCCTTGGGAGCCTTACGAGTAGATTTTGTGCACTATTTGTTTTTCCATTTTGCATGAGACATTGCAAAAGCCGATTTTCTGGTGGCAAGCACTTGTGTGTGTAGGGTTCCTCCTTACCTTGTTTTCCTGTGCATGTCTTGTTCAGTGTTGTGTGTTTCTTGGGGAAGTTGTGATTATGGTGAATGGTGGTTGGGTGGTGGCGTTCTAACACGATTCACATCACAAACTAACACAAAGGTCATGTGTAAACCATTCAGGAAAACTGTCATTGGCTCTTTGTATGAAGACGATCATCTATTCCACACAGCATATATTACGTATTCCAGCTGCCACATTTACAATTCAAACATGCCGGGCTCTGTTTTGTGGCAGCCCAAACCCTAGTGAAAGCAGTGCATGTTGGGATTTTCCTGCTCTTGGAATGCATTAGTGATGGAGCACAGTGGATGTGGTGCAGTCACTGGAGAAGAGCTGCAGCATAAAATAGAGATATAAATACCAGCTCTATTTTCCAAGTGGTGCCACTCTGTTAAAGGATCCTTTTACATTTTCTCTTTCTTGCTGAGAGTTCTGTGGGGAGATTAATGCATCTCTTATGGTTGAGAGCAAATATGAGGCAGGATACATCACTTAATGTAGTTGTCATATTATTAAGAGGTTAAACTGTCTCAAATCATCAGAGTTTGTTTTGTTTGATTGACCTGCTTTGATTTGCTTGAACGTTTTCTCCAGTCGTTGGCAGATCAACAACTTTCAAAGCTTTTTTTAAACTATAGGCTGTGTTTGGATGACAATATCTCGTTAACTATTAAAGGTAAAAGCCTGAAATGTAAAAGCAGAAGCTCTCATCCTGTAATTACTTGTAAAATCAAGCAGATCTAATAATGTCTGATTATGGATGAGCTGAAATAAGAAAATTAAGGGTGATGAAAAGTCCCACCTTTGAGCAGACATTAGCAGAAATACTGACGAAAAAGTCAACTACTGACATCATATGCAGCTACAGGAACACAAAACATATAAAATACATTTTAAAATGAAGTATTTTGTTTAACTTTCATAACTTAATTGAGCAGGTTTGACACACCAGGAAATAAAAGTTTTGCTTGACAGCCTAATTTAAGTAGGACACAGGTCTGAAGTTTCAAAATGGTTCCTAAAATATGACTAAGTACTGATTCTGTTACCTGAACTGTTACCTGTTATACTTACTGACTTCATATATATTATAAATACATACACGCGTTTGAAGGCCAGTGGAGCACATTTAGATTCGATCAAACAGTTTATATAATAATGATCACGAGAATAAATTTACCATAAAAATGAAATTAGAATCAGTTTTCTCATCTTAACTCTCAACAAGAAAGCAGATTTGTTTCCCAAAACTGTGCCTTTAATGAGTTCCTGATTCCACTGACAAACACAAACTAGATGGTCGCTGTGCAGCCGTAAATCACTCACGGCGTCTTACTGACAGTCAGAAGCTTTGATTTTCCAGCATAATAAAGCAGGGCGTGGACTTTCCTCCCTGACTCTGTACACATGACCCAGTACTGTGTGCTGGTCTTCTGCAAAAGCACAAAAACTGTTTTCAAGTGGCTTTCTAACCACAACACCACAGCACATTAGAATATCAGAGCTGTTATTCCTAGCAAGTCTTTTTCCCAAAGACCCACACACCATAACACTCTGACAGGCAAGAAGAGCGTTTTCTAGTGGTTTATAAATGATGAGCAGTGATCTGTGTCTGCCTGGCTCCTGTATGACAGCAAGCAGTTCATACAGGAACCTCTGCTGCAGATCCCCCTGGCTGCCTGCTACTGTAATCTCTTATTAGCAGCTTCTTCTCTATACACGCTTGTGGCTGTAATTAGCAGGCAGTAATCATTGTGCGATGTCCCCCTCCTGTCCCCCCCTCGCCCTCTCTCTCATTTAGGCTTGAAGACTATCGTCGGCGCACTGATCCAGTCAGTGAAAAAGCTGTCGGATGTGATGATCCTCACCGTGTTCTGCCTCAGCGTCTTCGCCCTCATCGGCCTGCAGCTCTTCATGGGCAACCTGAGGCAGAAGTGCGTCCGCATCCCGGTCGCCAGCAACGACACCAACAGCAGCGACATCAACCTGTGGGAAATCAACACCACCATGCCAAATGCCTCCTCCTTCAACTGGACAGAGTACATCAGCGATGAGAGTAAGCCAACGAAGCGGCGTGGCAGCGCTGCAACATGTCTGCCAGGCGCACAACGGGGTTAACCGGGGTCAAGTTAGATCCCGCTTCAGATGGCCTGAGTCAGATGCTGGCTACTTCATATGCAGAGATGGGTCAGGGTGGTGGCGGGGCTTGTGTGGGGGAGAGGTCAGGCACACTGGCCCGCTGCCATGATAGGCAGTGACAGCCGTGGCCGGGAGCAGGGGCTGCGCTCTCCAATATGAGCTGGTGGGAGAATGCGGCAAATGTGGCGGATAATCGCCACAACAATAAAACACTCTACTTTCACCCCCTCGCTACCTCTCGTCATTCTCCCATTGCCCATCTGTGTGGCATGAGCAGCCTGAAGTGCTACAGGAGGGTGAGTCACTGGCCGCCAGCAGGATATCAAGGAGACGTGCACCAGCTACATGACAAGCTAATGCCAAGCAGGAGAGGAACAGAGACGCAGAGAGAGAGAGAGAGAGAGATGATTAAAATTACATTGGTCTTATAAAGTCTGGCAACCTAATGGCATCAGTGACCGTGTTTATCCCTAAAGAAATCTAAGTTAATTGGTAAATGATGACAGAGCTGCTATGACTGCTTCTAAAGTCACATGACATCATGTCACAGACCCAAAAACGTGCCCAAAGGATGACTAATGTGGCTGGGTGTAAAAACAGGAACCAATCAGCACCTTTCTTTGTGTCTCTACGCCACACTCTAAAACTGAAGACGAACCCACAGGGTGCATATTTTCCTTCTGTACTGACAATCGATCTCCTGTTTGTTCATATCCGCTGCCTCACCCCTGTGACGTGGCTCTGACTGTCTGTCCCTGTGTCTCCCCTCCCCTCCAGATAATTACTATTACCTCCCTGGCCGTAGGGATGCTCTGCTCTGCGGGAATGGCAGCGGCGCTGGGTAAGGCTTGGCTTGTTTTATTTATACGACCAATTAGGTGAGCAGTTAGAGTCAATGCTCGCCATGCACAGCTATCTCCCAGATCAAGATTAGCTCATAACGCTGGCTACAGGAAGATACAGGAAACACGAACCCACTGGACAGTAGTGATCCAAACACTGGGACACAACAACATCAGGCGCCTGCAATTTGAGATGCAGAACATAAATAGTCGATAGTCATTTGGATAGGGGGCAGAAGCCCTACCTGCTCTCTACAGCATGCTCCTTAGAGGCTTCAAGGAAGGTCAGACAAACATATGATTAACAAGTATTTAATGTGATTAATCCAGTTCCAGCTCGTAAACATGCTTCAGCAGGATGTTTCATAATAGCTGTTTGAAATTAATGTAGATGCTCATATGTAGTTTTGGGTCAAGAGGATCAAACAGGGCTCCATGTGAACATTTAACAGGATGTAATATAATTTAAACATCCATTTGATCCCTTCCATATTGTCTTATATTTCAGGGCAGTGTATTCTAAATAAAGTGATTAGTTAAGCTTTTACATAAACCGTGTGGCCCTCAGAACGTAGAGTCTTTAACTGTCAGTTATGCACAAAATACCATCTTTTTTAAAATGTGATGAGGTAGATTTGGTCGAAGCTCTTCTGGGAGATCACCTGTAAACAATCTGAACTCTGTAACTGAATGAGCAGAGGTTTGGTTTTTCTCGTGTACGTTTACATCATGCTTTGTAAGAAATGTGAATTTGATTGAATGTAAATATTATACATGGCGCCTGTAATGCAAAGTGTTGTTTGTGCCCCCTGTGTGTCCTCCAAGGCTCTGTCCGGAGGGCTTCAGCTGCGTCAAAGGAGGTCGTAATCCAGACTATGGCTACACCAGCTTCGACACCTTCAGCTGGGCCTTCCTCTCCCTGTTCAGACTCATGACCCAGGACTACTGGGAAAACCTCTACCAGCAGGTTGGTGGACGTTTGCAGGATTCGTCTCTTGCTTTGGTTTATTTGGTGTCTTTGCTATATTTGGGACAGCAGACGTGATTAATGCTGTAAACACATCGCGCCTTAAAATACGCCACTGGTAATGTGATGGTAAAAATGCAAAACAAAAACAGGACGAGCAGTTGGTTTCGTAATAAACATTCAATTTGTAAATGTCTGATGTGCAGGTAGTGCATGAGAGGTTATTTATAAAAGGGGCCGCAATTTTGTAATTATACAAACAGCCTGTTAGTTTTTTTTGTTTTGAACGCAGCCGTACGATCGAACAGAGTCACCAGACGACGGCCACAACTAACACTGTTGGTCAGGATTGTGTTTGTTCAGCTACAAAGAAGAACAATTCATCAGTGAGTGAATTTGATCTGAAGTTTAACCACAACCCTTCTGTTTTCTTCCCTCTACCCTGCCTTGGATTTGTCAGACTTTACGCGCGGCGGGGAAGCCCTACATGATCTTCTTCGTGCTGGTGATCTTCCTGGGCTCCTTCTACCTGGTCAACCTGATCTTGGCCGTGGTGGCCATGGCTTACGACGAGCAGAATCAGGCCACCATCGAGGAGGCTCAGCAGAAGGAGGAGGAGTTCCAGGCCATGCTGGAGCAGCTGAAGAGACAGCAGGAGGAGGCACAGGCAGGACTTTAGTTTTATTTTTTTAATTCAAGTTCGACTGCAGACCAGCTCCTGTCTGTATCCGTTTCATTAGAGTGATTGTATGAGACGTCTCAGTTGGCAAGGAGCGCTTCATTGTGAAGTCCATTAAGAAAGTGAGGTCTTAAACTTCTGAAGGAGCAGGGAAGCTCTCTGATTAATTTGTTGAGCAGGTGAACTAGTCTGGTGGGACGTCGATTCTCCGGCTCAAAGCTAGTGTTACCCTGGCAACCGAGGGATTTGGTCTTGTGGTTGAGTGACACCCCTCTGCTGCTGCCCCAGGAGTCAGAAGCCCTTGTTTGACCTACAGGAGTTAAAATGGGTGGACGGAAATTGGGGGCGAGTGGCATTCTGGATGGTGGAGACACCCTCATTGTAGCTCAGACTAGCTGTATGTTCTCTGTATAAGAGGCTCAGTGTTAAGGGAGAACCATACGTTATGTTCCTGGGAAGCCAACCAGGTGTTTAAGAGGTCGTAACACAAGGACACACACCCAGATTCTGTCCTGCAAGAGAAACCGCATCTGGTAAATTTAACCTTATTAATGTACAGAATCAGGAACGATATTAGAGACTGATGAGACAAAGCAGTGAATCCCCATGAGGGGTGGTTCTACTCCAGGGGGAACTTCTGCAGCGTCCAGGGGGTACGTGGCAACGCTGTAGACTGGCTCGACCAATAAAAATCTTGCTTAGGAGGGAAACTAACATCCAAATAGGATTATAAGCTGGTGTGACTCTGTTCAGAAATGTTGATAGCAGACTGACTGTGTAGTTAATCAACTCTCTCTCATGTGTTGTATGATTTTAAAGCCACATTGGCCTTAAAAATGTTTGAAAATTGTGAAAAAGATAATAGATAAGTGATTGAGAATGCTCAAAATACAATGGATGACAGTTCAAATAAGTGCCTCATGGATAATCAAGCTCATTATCTAAAAGTTAAATAGTCAGCTGAAGGCTAAAAGTGTTTGATAAACTGATGATGAGAAAACAAAATAGATACCTGAAGGTAATCTATTAGATATAGTTCAAGTACAAATGTTTACTAGTTAGCTAAAATATAGTTAAATGAAATGAAATAATTACCTGAAACCCATGGATGTAAGGTTGACATAGTTAGATGGACGTAGGGGATAAATGGGTGAAGCGTTCTCCTTCTGCGACCAAACAAACCCACAGTCATGACATAAATATATACGCTAATAAATATCTGAGATCTGAAACAAGAGTGAGTGAGGGAGGAAGAGGTGTCAGGCTGATCTGAGGGAGACGTAGAGTTCAGTGATATAATCAACTTTATTCCTGTTTCCCTTTTGTTTTCTGGATCACGTGACACTCCTCCTGTCTCGTCCTCATTGCTGCTTTGCTCTTTTATTTCCTTCCAGACCTTCTTCTCTGCCTTTGCTCTGTCCTTCGCTGGTCTTTCTATCAGGCTCTTATCAGCCTTGTTCAGATTGTTGTTGCTGCTGCTGTAGTTGCCATGACACACTCTTAAATCCTCGTCTCAGAATTTTGTACATTTCGTGCGACACAGAAGCTCACCAAAAAAAAAAAAAGACTAAACTAAGTGACCCACTGCTGCTTCCTTTGAATGCTTTGTCATTGAAAATATAGAGTGTGTTATGATGTTGGCAATGACCTACCCTTATGGGGAAAGAATCTATTTAATCACCCACATCCTTTGCATCCTAAAAGCTTTTCCATTAAGACAATAAAATGCACTACACATTATACATTTTAATGAGTTGAGCAGCACTGTTTGGCTTCTGGGACTAATACTGCCTCCTTTTTGTTTATTTAGAAAACAAAACACCCAACCCAGCATCCACACAGTTTACTCAGTGACTGTTAAAAATGCAGGAACTCAGAAATGTTTTGGTTGGCGTGAACACATTCAGATATCCATTTTTAGAAGGTGTCTGAGGCTCATTGGGCTGTTCATGTTACTGCTGCTGCTGCTGCTGCTGCTCTCAGCTGCCAGCCTCTCTCCTCCGCTCCAGTCCGCCAGAGCCTCCGAGACAGTCGCCGGGTCGCCATGACAACCGTGTTTGTGTTCTGATTGGCTGGCAGGTTGCCGCGGCAGCAGCCACGGAGAGCGGAGAGTACAGCGGGAGAGGGGGCCCCACCTCCGAGTCCTCCTCGGGGACGTCTAAGCTGAGCTCGAAGAGCGCCAAGGAGCGGCGCAACAGGCGGAAGAAGAGGAAGCAGAGGGAGGAGGAGGAGGAGAGGGGGACCCGCGACAAGTTCCACAAGTCTGCGTCCGAGGACAGCATCAAGAGGTCCAGCTTCCGCTTCTCCATCGATGCCAACCGGCTGTCCTACGAGAAGAGATGCTCCTCACCCAACCAGGTACATACTTGACAAAACAGAGTCACCAATGACTGATGCCGGATGTGATAAACATGTTCATATTTCACATCATGTTTGAGCCAACAAATACAACTAGTTTTGACTTCGTTTGCACCCGTCACACTCTGTATTCATTCACAATATAAGTTAAGGAATGTTGGAACATTTGCTTGTTCACTTTCATGCAAAGAATCAGATGAAAACATGAACCTAACGTGCAGTTACAGCCAGTAAAGATCAGAATCAGGTAGCCTGGCTTACTGTGGCACTTTTGTTTTTTTTCTTGTAAAAACTGGACCAACAAGGCACAACAGGTTAATTATTGAGCTTTAAGGGTGCTGGCAGACAGATAGTTGTACCCTCAGGCCATGGCTCAGGGGTTGACTGGATTGTCCACTAGTTGTAATGTTGCTGGTTCAATCCCGGGCTCCTCTAACATACCACAGCGTCCCTGGCTAAGACACTGAACCCCAAGTTGCTCCCACTGTGGCAGCTCTGCCATCATGGGTGTACGTGGAAATGGATGAACGTAGAAGCTGCCATGTAAGTGCAGACCATTTACCATCTAAGTCAACTTTCCTCTGACTGCAGCTTCATATTTATTGGAAATATACTCATCTTCTCATGTAACTCCTGGCAAGAAAGCTAATAATCACGTTTTGAAAATGTCAACCAGTTCCTTTTAGGAAACCAGATATTAAAAACTAAAGTCCAGCTCCTTCACCAGACCAGTCTGTTGGTATCAAATTATTAAAACTCGGTCAAATCAGGTTCGACTGTGAAAGAAAACATCCCAGCCAGTCCTCATGTAGACATCCCTTTATTGACAATGTGTGTTTTTCATGGGAATGTTGTCATTCTCTTTTCTGTTTTCCATCCTCCATGTGTCCTTCCTGTCTAACTGCCTCATGTTTCAGGTCCACCTGACCTCCACTGTGACATGTCTGCCCGTTATCCTCCCAGTCTTCCCTCAGTATTCCAGGGCTCTACCTCCCTCCATCCTCCTCTACCTCCCTCTACCTCCCTCCATCTGCCCGTTATCCTCCCAGTCTTCCCTCAGTATTCCAGGGCTCTACCTCCCTCCATCCTCTAATCCCGTTTTCTCTTTCTCTCTCTCAGTCTCTTCTCAGTATCCGTGGATCCCTCTTCTCACCTCGGAGGAACAGCCGCGCCAGCTTGTTCAGCTTCCGCGGCCGGGCGCGCGACATGGGCTCCGAGAACGACTTTGCCGACGACGAACACAGCACGTTCGAGGAGAGCGACAGTCGCCGGGGCTCCTTGTTCTTGCCGCGGCGCCTCGAGCGTCGCTGCAGCGCCGTCAGCCAGACCAGCCTCGGGGCGCCGCGGATCATGCTGCCCGCCAACGGCAAGATGCACTGCGCCGTCGACTGCAACGGCGTGGTGTCGCTGGTCGGTGGCACTTCTGTCACAACATCTCCCGTAGGTCTCCTGCTGCCTGAGGTGACTTAATCGTTTCATGGTTCATTTTCCCATTGACCTCCTTCACGTTCATACCCTGCACTTCCTTTATCCCCTTTGTTCTGGTGCTGTTGATAAATATATTTGGATTTAATATGTACATTATCAGACAGTTCAGAGGTGTAATGAGTCCTGGCTGTGGTGCATGTTTCCACCCCAAGTCTGTAGCTGTAATTATTAATGCTGGAACCCTGAGGGAGTCTATATTTTGTTAAATTCCAAACACATTTCTCATCTTTCCTTTCATCTGTGGTTCTCAGCAGCAAGCCCACAGGCTCTGACTCAAGACTTAAATCTTTAAAGTCATACATATGTGTTTTCCTTGTTATTAGCTATCCTGCAGAGATTAGTATGAACTGGGAGGAACACTGCCATCTAATACTTCTCTTTCACAATGAAACGCTTTAGCTGCTGCTGGAAGGATTGATATGGAATTAGGTTCAGACATTCCTGTTTTCAATTTACAACATGCACATTAGATCAAAATTCTGATCAAAAAAATGTATGTGTCCTCTTTTATGAAAAAATATCTGCAAAATGTTGGCATTTAGATTTGTTGATATTTTGCTGTGAGTCAGTTTTTGTGTATTTTATTCTAGGGGACAACTACGGACACGGAGCTGAAGAAACGCAGGTCATTTCACCAGCCATCCATGGACTATTTAGATGAACCGGGGGGCCGGCAGAGAGCCATGAGCGTGGCCAGTATCCTCACCAACACCATGGAGGGTCAGGATCCTCCCAGATTCAATTCAGTTCAATTTTACTTGTGTATCGTAAAGCTGAAATTTCCTTTGATTTGCTTTTAGCAGCACTTGGAAATATCTGCCAAGAACATAGAGAAATAGTACTGCAGAAACAAATCTAACTGCATTCAACAAGATGTGTACAATTTGTCCTTTTCCAGAGCTTGAAGAGTCGAGGCAGAAGTGCCCGCCCTGCTGGTACAGGTTTGCCAACACCTGTCTGATCTGGGATTGTTGTCCTGCATGGCTGAAGATCAAAGAGGTTGTCAACATGGTGGTCATGGACCCATTTGTGGATCTGGCCATCACTATTTGCATCGTCCTCAACACCCTTTTCATGGCCATGGAGCATTACCCCATGACTAAAGAATTTGATAATGTGCTCTCAGTGGGAAACCTGGCAAGTATTCATCGTTATGCTTCCCTCAAATAAAAAAATGACATGTTAAAATATCTGTCATGATGCAGATTCAGGTACAGCTCTTCCTCTTCCGTGTCTTTAGGTGTTCACAGGCATCTTCACAGCAGAGATGTGCTTCAAGATCATCGCCCTGGATCCTTACTACTACTTCCAGGAGGGCTGGAACATCTTTGATGCCATCATCGTTAGCCTCAGCCTGATGGAGCTGGGCCTGGCCAATGTAGAGGGCTTGTCTGTGCTCAGGTCGTTCAGATTGGTAAGACCACCGACACGTACAGCTTACTTAAGAGGTGCTCCTTATGTAATCCATCTGCTCTTTAGCTGAGAGAAGTTAAGATGGAGCTGTACTGAACTATGACGAGGATCATGTCACAATGGCTCTCTCAATAACATTCATGTTAATAATGAGGTAATGATGGCTTTATACTGTACATGAAAAGCTCTGCTGGGAGTTGGTACGGCCTTCAGAGTGTCCTCTTTGTTCTCTGCCTGCTTTAATGTTGTGAATATGAGCTTGAACATCAATACAGATGTTTGTTTTCACCAAGTATTTTGGGAAATGTCCCATTACAACATCTTAACTGGTGTGAGAAGTTCTACAAGAAACAGAAAGCAGAACATCTCACTGCATCCATTCATTGAGTTAGACTGATTAACTGACTGTTTTACATTTTGGGAAATGAAGCTCACCTATTAAACTTTTAATGATTAATTTCTGCTGTGTGTCACTGCATGCACTGACAAGCATTTCTGGGTTACTTTCATACTTAAACGGTCTTAAAAACCTTCAGATTGTCATGCAGGTCCTGAAGCGCTCTTGTTTCTGCCCCACATGCAGTTCCACTGTGTTTTTCAGAACATATGTTTTGGTTGCAATTAAGCAGTCGTAATTATGGGGTCCTGATGCATGTTTTATCATTATGAGATGCTGTACAATCAACTAAACAGGCATAAATGGGGATGCTTTCAGCTTTACTAAGCATCCAGTGCTTTTCAAGATTTCTATTTTATCAAAGTAATTCAGAGATAGTGGTAATGTAATGGTACACAGCCAAAGGGAGTTGTGTATAGTTAATTGGGTGTAGTTAATGCATGTTGCTGCCCCCAGTCTAACTCAGTGTATGCATGGCAGCGTTATATTTCCCTTTCATGTACAGTGTCTGTTTACACCAGTGAGAGCTTTAAACATGACATTTTAAAGTAAAAATACTAAAAAACTCCACTTATACTGATGTCCAGACTCATTCAGTACATCAACGTCTCCAAAGCGATTTAATGCACGTTTATGAGGTGCAGCACATGAAGACATAAACCTTTGGCACTGAGGGGTGCTTCGATGCAGGAGGGAAACAGCTGGCGTGTCCCTCTGTACAGCTCAAAATCTCACTTGTTGTGGTTTTATAGTGAAGCTTGCGATGGAGCTATTCATAGCTGGACTCCTGACCTCCTGGCTTTTTATCAACACTGCTAAATAACCAGCAAACAGTACATAGCATATTAATTAGAGGGTTCTGGGTGTGTTGTGAGCCAGCTGTGTTGCCAGGTTGCCGAGCTGTTTGCAGTCTTTACACTAAGCTCAGCTCGTTACTTGGTGGCTTAAGCTTCATATCAAGCGTACAGACTTGAGTGTGGTGTCAGTCTTCTTCTCTACATCTTCACAAGAAGGCAGAAAAATGGTTTGTTTATTGATAATGTAGAAACTAGATCTAAGTTTAATCTCATGATTTTAATGCTGCCTTGACATGGCTTCTGAAATGAAGCTTTTTCTGACTTCCTTTCCTAAATATTATTCATATAAACTTTGTTAGACTTATTGAATATTAGACACTAGATCCAGATGATTACACACTTCTCATTTTCTTCTCCAAACAGCTCAGAGTCTTCAAACTGGCCAAGTCGTGGCCCACGTTGAACATGCTGATCAAGATCATCGGTAACTCGGTGGGCGCTCTGGGCAACCTGACTCTGGTGCTGGCCATCATCGTGTTCATCTTTGCCGTGGTGGGCATGCAGCTGTTTGGCAAGAGCTACAAGGAGTGCGTCTGTAAGATTGCCAAAGACTGTCAGCTGCCCCGCTGGCACATGCACGACTTCTTCCACTCCTTCCTCATTGTGTTCCGGGTGCTGTGCGGCGAGTGGATCGAGACCATGTGGGACTGCATGGAGGTGGCAGGACAAACGATGTGCCTGATCGTCTTCATGATGGTCATGGTCATTGGAAACCTGGTGGTATGGGGTTCTTTCTATTTATGTCCTTTCCATATTACCTATAACAGGCAGTAGTTCTGTGTTTTTTTGGTGCAGGAGTAATCATGTGTTTACTGGTTGAGATGGTTATAAAATCAGGTCCCTAAGGCGTAGTGTTTGTGCCTCATGTTTCCTTTCTCCCAGGTTCTGAATCTCTTCCTGGCTCTCCTCCTGAGCTCGTTCAGCGCTGACAACCTGGCGGCTACTGATGACGACAGTGAGATGAACAACCTGCAGATTGCCGTGGGCCGGATCCAGCGGGGCATCGCATTCGTCAAATCCACGGTGCGGCAGTTCCTCCAGAGCCTCTGCTTCGGCGGGGCCGGTAAGGGCTCTGGCCTGGCTGAGGAGAGCAAACCCCTGGATGAGCTGCACAGCAATGGCAAGGGCAACTGCATCTCCAACCACACTTCAGTGGAGATCACCAAAGAGCCCATCGGGGTTTACATGACGGAGGGCAACGGTCGGCCGGGAGGAGGGCTGGTGGTAGGGGTCGGGGTTGGTGGGGACGCCACGGGCAAGTACCCGGTGGAGGAATGTGACTACATGTCATTTATTCATAACCCCAGCCTGACCGTGACGGTGCCCATCGCAGTGGGCGAGTCGGACTTTGAGAACCTCAACACAGAAGATTTCAGCAGCGACTCGTCTGACGTGGAGGGCAGCAAAGAGGTAAGATGAACGACGAGGAGATTTAGCTCCTTTCTATGTGTCACAGCCAACACACAGCACCAGACAGACAGCGTAGGAATATGTTAGGATTTCCATAGAGATGGCCTTTTCAGAAAACCTGCAGACAGTCAAGCAGTTTGAAAATAACACACCTGCTGACTCATTTGTACATGCATCACGCTGTGCTGCTGAGGACACTTTCTGTAGTTTTTACTCACTGCTGAAGCTCTTGGCAGCAGAACAAGAAACAGCCATGACAAATAATGACTCAAATCTGCCTTTGATTTCTGCAGCAGGTTCACATTCTGCGTCTGCCTGAACACTTACGTGGTGGCTTATACACACCTGCTGGAGACTTACCTAAATTATTGCTCCATGCTCTGGGGAACGTTTGTGTGTATGTGTTCAGATAAAAGCAGAAAACGATTGATTCAGAGTCTCTCTATATATCAGAATCAGATGTTTAATAAAAATCAAACACGTCACCATTGGCACATATTGTACCTGAACTGCAGGGAAGTAGGTTTTTACTAATTCATGGCCTTCTCTGGCAGAGCAAATGCTGTTAAGTGCTGCCAGCCTGACAAAGCCTTGTGTTCCTGGTGATGTCAACCTGCCACAGTGGGTGTGGTGCCAGTTCCCTGTGATTCAAAACAACCCAGGAGGCTATTTGTAGCCATGGCACCACATGTTCCATATGAGGACCAGGCGATGCTCCTGTCATGTCACTGCTCATGGTTTCCCCCTGTAGCCGGGGCCTGTTCAACTGTTCTGTGGCAGTTTGATGTCATTAACTCAAATTAGAGACAGTAAACATTAACTTGAGCATTTAGATTTGCATAACAAACCTTTGGGTTGTGCTATTTGTGTTGTGTGAGAATTAAGTGTCAGTCCCAGTATAAAAACACCACCCCACTGTTTTTGCCTTGTACCTGCTAAGAAATGTGTTGAGAGGGAATCTAAAGTGTTGTTCTGTGAGGCTGACTTGTCGCCCCACTGTGCCTCGTGGTCTGACCAGTGAAAGCAGACTCGAGGTTGTATGCTGGCTTTTGGTGTGTATGACTTACTGTGTTTAACCCCCCGTTTGTTATTGCAGCTGTGTCACAGACGCTCTCAAGGTTTTCAGTGAGAGGAGAATTGTAAGACCACTTTATTGTACCATAGCACTAACCATGAGGACTGCCTATGCCATTTACAGACAAACAGCATATGTTTTCTCATACCTTTAACGGATTGCCCATTTTCGTTCTTTGCCTGGTCTGCCCTCCGTCCCCCCCACCCTACCCTACCCCACCCCACCCCCCCTCACCCTCTTTGCTTTACACCCTCCCCCTGCCCCGTACAGCAGCACAGTCACTGCTGTAGTCTTTTCCCCTACTGCCCCCCTTTCATAATTTATCTCTGAGCATCAGGCTGTATTGCAGTTACAAACCATTAAGAATGAGCAACACCACCTTCTGTTTTTTCCATCGATAGACGAACTCATCTGACATTATCTTTGCTTTTGATTTCATTGCTTGGTTTTTTGACTTGGTTTTGGGACTTGATTGGCATCCAACACTTCCGAGCTTGAGAATGAAGGAAGGGAGGAGGTTGAGGTGGAGGAGAATGAGGAGGAAAGAAAGGATGGAATGGAGGAATGAATTTTGCTGTAGTTAGACAAAATTCATTTGTCTGGTTCATAGCCCATGCCCACACACATGAAAAAACCTGCACAGACTTGGTTTTTGTGTTACTGGAATAATCGTGGAATGATGAAAGATTCTCCACAGAATTCTTTCCAAAGAGATAATTTTGAAAATGAATGAATGCTGATTTTTGCAGCGTGGCGAAACCGATAACACATTGCAGATGAGACTGAATCAGTGTAAGTTCTTCATTTTGTTTGTCAAATAAGAAATTGTTTTTTTTCTAAAATACATTGAATTGTAACACATGTGGTACAATCACACGTTTGTGAACTAGCTAGCCCGTCTGTGCCTGTGTTATCCACTTTGGTTTCACTGCAACTATCTCATTACTTGTTCAAAGACTTTCAAACAAAATCTTCCAGTTACGATGTCAGGTTAAGACTGAACGCCCCCCGTAGTCCACATGCAGAAGAGGTAAAATGGGTTTCTTGCTGAAGGATAGAAAGCGAGCGGGAGGGACACCCCCTTCCAGTAACGATGCACCTGCGAGCAGCATGCTTCCATCATTCCCATGCCGTATTAGCTGGGTCCCACGGCAATCAGGGCTGCTGCACTGTCTAGGATGACATGTTCCTGATACTCAGACATGAGGCCACATAACACCATGTTTGCCCAAAGGAAAACAGACAGGAAGCCTCACATCACTGTACGCAGACGATACTGTAAAAACAAATCAAAGGTGTTGGCAGGGTTCAAAATTCATAGTCAGAAAGGCAGACGATAGCAGCAACACTTGTCCTCACATGTGTTTTGCATCGGAGAAGGACAAACACCATTGAGTAGCACACGTAGTCCTGTATGCTCTCTGGGTATGCATGGGTGCTATTTCAACACCAATGGGAACAAACATGCCAGACCACATGCTGTCTTATAAACAGTGCACAGTACTGGTTTTTGCTGGTAAGCTAATGTGGTTATCCGTCTACTTCAACACAAACAGAAGAAGCTTGTACACTGCTTTCAAGGAATGGAAACTGTGTTTTCATGTCACTGAGGAAAATGTTGAGCAGTCTGTCTGGAGGGGGGGCGGGCTCCAGGTCTGAGGGTGGGAAAGAATATTTTTTTTATATAAGGACATTTTTGGAAACGGGATAAATCGTAGACGAATTGATTGGGGGAATTTTTCAGTGGACATGAAAATACTTGAGCACACGTTCTGCTTGGTACTATTTCAGGCTTGAATTGATAATGCACTGGAATACTGCATGCACTCTTCCTCGATCTGAGGTCACATCAAACGTACCCACAGTGCGTTTTCGTAACGCCAACCTCCCTACGTCACTAATCTGATTTGAGCCATCAGATAAAACTCATACCGAAGCCTGTAGGTACATTTGATCGATGCTGCATGTTGATGATGATGATTCAATGACTTTAAAGAGCCCAACTCTGTGAGCTATTACAGTGCCTAGTCTCCACACTGAGGTATAGAGTTGTGGCACTGGAGTACATGTGAATGCAGAATCACAGTGATAACCAGCTCAGAAGGTTGGCTCCTATAACCACTGAACCTCTGCAGTTTCAGGCCGCGCAGTCTAACTTTGTCCTCTCATCTTCCTCCCCGTCCATGCAGAAGCTCGATGCAGAGCCCCAGCCTCTGAGCTCATCGGAGGGGAGCACAGTTGATATTCGCCCCCCAGGAGACGGGGTGGATTCAGTGGAGCTGGAGCCAGAGGAGTCACTGGACCCAGAGGCCTGCTTCACAGAGGGTGAGGGGGGTGCAGGGGTGATAGGCAGCGAGGATGATGGGTAGCGGGAAAGTGGGCCAGAGCGAGAAAGGTGGAAGACAAAACACTTTGAGAGCACATTTCAAGAGGAGGAATAAATCGCACTAACTGCTTGTGCTTAGCACCAGTCTGTTATACTCACAACTGAGTGACAGTGAATACGAATGCTCAGTGAGACTGACAAAAACAGTAGTCTGTGGGGTTCTCTGGGTTTGTAATGTAACCTGACTGTTTATCTGACACACCTCCAGTGCAATTCAAAATCTGCAAATACCTCATCACGGCTACAGGAACAGAATATGATGACCGAGGACATGGGGTCGGATGAGCAGCATTTACCTGTGCAGAATAGCTCTGACGTTTCCTTCACTGGTATTTAGATTGTGCAACATTGCTTTGTGGATTTGTTCAAATATAATAATGGAATATGCTTAAATCATATTACACAGCAGTAATATAGTCAGATTTAGTCAATTATTACAGCAAACAGAGACACTAGGACGGCCATCTGTGTCACTAACAGTGTGCAATAAAAACCTTACCAATAAAAACCTGAGTGGAAATGTGAAGTCAAAATATGGCACTAAATAGAAGTAGGCAATGTAGCATGATGATAGCATGATGCCCTTGTGACTTAAACATCTACTGCATCTCATATTTCAATAGCAGACATAAAGTGCTACAGATGTAAGTATCAGATCTGGTGGAGTGATGAGGAGACTGATGGTCCACAAACTGAGACAAACCATCCATCATGCTCCTCACACTTTGCATCACTTGAGGGTAGACTCCACTATCCAGGCCGTATCTTCTGTAGTGGTTTTAGTTAATGAAGATAATAATTTGAGAATTAGTGTCACAAACTGTGCAGATTTGTGTCTTGTGCCAATTTTGGAGATGGTACTAAAATGCTGTTGCTTTGGTTCAATCCGCTTTACTTCATTTACACATGCAGTTTGTAGTCGTGTACTTGATCTAGATGAGGGTAAATGCATGATTATGGAGGGCTGAAATGCACTGAGGAACCATTTGGAGGTGGTCAGACTTGCATCATCCAGGTGTACATTCACTATTAAAAGCATTCTGAGAAAAAATAAAAGCTGTGTAACAAGGTGAGAGGCGAACTAACTCCACCTCTTCCTGCTCCCTCCAGCAGGCTTTACCGGAGCTGCAGGTAGCAGCAGCAGGACTGTGTGTCCACCACAGTGTTTTTTTCCAGCTCAAAGGGCCAGGTGCTCTTTTGAAAACGCTCAGTTTAAACCGCTCGTGAGTGATACGGAGGCCCAGCGCGCTCTCAGCTGACGTGCTGTAGTTGCTATGATGTGAAATATCTACAGAAGTAATGTGTCTGTCCGCTCAGTGGAATGTAGCTTCCCTGGTGTAAGTGATAGACCTGTGTGTTAGGAGTCCAGTGTTCAGCTGCTGTATCTCCATCATGTGTCTAAACCAGCTTTATTCATACCTGTGTTTCATGTCTCCTCCGTCTTTGTCCACACTGTGCCTGCAGGCTGTGTGCGCAGGTTCCAGTGCTGCCAGATCAATGAGGAGGGAGGCAAGTATAAGAGCTGGTGGACTCTGAGGAAAACCTGCTTCATCATCGTGGAGCACAACTGGTTTGAGTCCTTCATCATATTTATGATCTTGCTCAGCAGTGGGGCACTGGTAAGTTAACAGAGTTAACAGGCAGAGTTCATATTTTCCGTCACCATGCTGACTATGCTGGGTTGATCTGATTTCATCCCACAGTGTGAAGGGAAGCAGCTCAGATTCCTGCAGCATGATTTTTTGTGCAGTTATCTGTCGATCTGAAGAAGATGTGTGCTTTGCTGTGCTGATTTCGGTCTCTTTATTGTATGACTTCCACCCCGTTGCTTCCACCAGCTGTCTTTATTAATTATTCCATTCTGCGCAGGCCTTTGAGGACATTTATATTGAGCAGCGGCGCACCATCAAAACAGTGCTGGAGTACGCAGACAAGGTTTTCACTTATGTCTTCATTCTGGAAATGCTGCTGAAGTGGGTAGCATATGGCTTTGTCAAGTACTTCACCAACGCCTGGTGCTGGCTCGACTTCCTCATTGTAGACGTATGTATACTGAGCACGTAATTATTCAAATAAAGCCTCCACTCTGGTGCTTGATGAGAAGATTGCATCATATTGTGCTGACAGCTGCTTAGCTTAGCATAAGGACTGAAAGACAGCTAGCCTGGCACGCAGCAACTACGGAAAAAGCAACATTAGCCGACTCCTCTTTCTTTATGCAAAGCTAGAATAATAGTCTTTTAACTCTATGTCGGCATATTTAGCGAGAGAGTTGTGTCATCTTCTCATCAAACTCCCAGAAAGTCAAACCGTTTCTTAAATGGCTGTAATGTTCAAGCAGCTTCTTGTTGTCAAATTCAAAGTTTTTGGAGACTCTTCTGTTCTTAATTTTTAAACAGTTTCAATAATTTATCATCTCTGTCATTCTGTGCAGACTGATTATTGGTGTCCAATTAGCTGTCTCGTTCAAACGCTCAGGATGACACCGAGCAAACGGACCTCTTTCATGTCTCACCCTTCACCCCGCTTGTCTCTGACACCGTCTTCTCTCAGGTGTCCCTGGTCAGCCTGGTAGCCAACGCTCTGGGCTACTCTGAGCTTACCGCCATCAAATCTCTGAGGACGCTGCGAGCGCTCCGGCCCCTGAGGGCCCTGTCTCGGTTTGAGGGCATGAGGGTAAGGGCATCAGGAGTTACTGCCACACAAAGCAGCTTTTAGACCAGGATTACTTGTGGGCACACTGAAAACAAGCAGAACCAATGAAGTCTCACGTTAGCATTTAAAAAGCTCCATCATGGACCTTAGACGACACGGCTCGCCCTGCTCTGTATGAACAAGATGTGGGCTTTACTGAGCTTCACAAGTGCTGGTCGGCCCATGTAGTGTGTGTTTAAAGAACTGAGTCAGGCTTGCTGTTTTCCTTTAGGTCCAACAAACAAAAAGAAACTTAATTTTCGCTTCACATTCAGGTGCTGTTTTCATCCGACTCTTGAGAATAAAGCAAAGGTGTTTATGTTAAAAACCTGTAAAGCTAGCCGTTAGCGTTTGTTTTCAGTGAGCCCATGATTTTTTAAATATATAAAATGTGCATTTTTATCACATTTTTATAGGACATGTCTCTGAAGCTGTAGAGGCAAAGTGCTTTACCTTCCCTCTGCCTGTTGGTGCTGAAGCCACCATATATATTCAGTCAGTTGTGGCATATTTTTACAGATAAATGATGTTGAATACTTCTATCTGGTTGGGAGGGGGCTGCCTGTAAGACTGCATGCTGATTACATCGGTAGAATTATCTTTTCCTCGCAGTTCAACACTGTAATTCTTCTATCTGCATGACTTTCTTCACACTGTGTCAATGGATTACTATACTTAGCTGTTCTGAGGCATTGTTTTCTGACGTTGCTTGTGTGGTGCCTTTGACCTGTAATTTTTTTCTTTGTTGTGTGTCTTTTTTCATTTACAGTCAAACAAAATGTTCTGACTTCATCCTGCCTCTCTAAGGTTTTTTTCTGTTTTGCTTTTTTACCTATCAGATGTTAGCCTTCTCACCTATCCACCTTCTTCTTTCCAACTGTCATGTTGTTAGATTCTCTCTGTAGACTTGTATGGTGCTAGGAGCTTTATGTGTGCACACATGATGTATAATTAACACAGCTCTGAGTAACGTAGGATCACTGTTGTTATTGAATTCAGTCTTGGCTTTGGCTCTGAAAGCCTCAGATTTATGGCTCAGTGAGCTCACGAGTCCACATGTCCTATGTAAGCACAGTTAAGTGATTAGATGATTGTAATGGCCACTTACCCAAAATCAAACAGCCTTTCTAATTTGGCAAGCACAGACCTCTTGACCTTGAGTGACAGGAGAGTGCTGAGCTCGTCCCTGTGCTTTGACCTCTCCAGGTTGTGGTGAACGCTCTCCTGGGGGCCATTCCTTCCATCATGAACGTGCTGCTGGTGTGTCTCATCTTCTGGCTCATCTTCAGCATCATGGGGGTCAACCTGTTCGCAGGGAAGTACTACTACTGCCTCAACACCACCGCGGACGAGCTCTTCCCCATCAGCGTTGTCAACAACAAGTCCGACTGCTTGAACTTGGTGAACGACAGCGCCCGCTGGAAGAACGTCAAAATCAACTTTGACAACGTTGGGGCCGGATATCTGGCTCTGCTGCAAGTGGTGAGTTCTGTCTGGCACAATGAAGACAAAAAGAGCTTTATTTAAACAGCGTGTTCAAAGTAGGCAAACAAAGCACAGAGACCAGACCGAGGGAAAAATCTAAAATACAGGCTGGGCTAAAAGACATGCAATTGATCAAAGCACATTTAAAGCTACAGCTTGAAACCTCAAAACACAAAGACAGTCTGGGAAATGAGTGGAGGGAGGCTGGGAGTACGCTGTGGAGGCACAGGTCAGCTACTGGTGGCAGAGGACAGGCAGAAGGGCGTGGCAAGATCTGACAAGACAACAGAGATAGTGCATGGAAACAGGAAAGACTGGATGAACGAATAATATGATGCAACAAGTCACTTCTGTAGTGTGGAGTGTTTATGATGGACTGTATGGCTTCTGCGTTTAACACACCAGCCCATGATTAGACTCTCCTCTGGGCTTTTACCAAGACAAACTGATGAGGACGTCCTAGTTTCACAGTGTATGAGAACGGAGAAGGAACACCAGGAGCATGACTGTTGTTTCTCCAACATTCACCTGGTTGTGCACCGTTCATCGCCCAGGGTCAGGCGGTCAAGGCAGAACTCTCCTGTAATGTTCTGAGGTGTTTGAGGGAATCCTGAACAGAGGTTGCATGTGGCTGCTACGATGCACTCTGCATCTGATCACAGCTCGGTAATCACGATCCGGTATTTTAGCCACAACAACGCTATCATTGCTCCGCAGGGCTCCTCCTCGTCCCCAAAATGAAGTTTGAGTTGTTGGGTTGCTTTCTTGACACAGTTTAGAAGATTTCCTGCAGATGGTGCTTGACGTGCTTTCATAGCAGGACTTCCAGGGAGCGCTGCTAGCATTACAAAGCGCCGTATCGCTGCACAAGGAGGCTACTTTGACGGGGATGGTGGCCAAATTTGAATCATGTGCGGTTTGTGGTTTTTATAGGCGTAGTCTCTGAACTTTTTGATCAACCCTCTTGTAAAATGAAAGTAGTCAACGGGCATCCAAAAATAAACACAGAGAATAAAATCTGAACAAAAAACATGCCAGAAAATGGCCTTCGTCTATGGAGAATCTTCACAGTCCCCTTTAACAATCAGCTAAGAAGTAAACCTGCAACTAACAACACTCCTGTTATATACAACAGACATTAACTGATCCAGACTGAAACCTTGACTTCTCTCTCGTCTGCTGTCAGGCAACGTTTAAGGGTTGGATGGACATCATGTATGCAGCTGTGGACTCTCGAAATGTAAGTCTTGATGCCAAACAGAGCGATTCAAACATCCATGAACGTAGCTTTTATTGTTTTCATTTCTTTACCAAGGGACTGACATGAAAGCCACTGAAATGTGTAATTAGTTGTGTCTTGCTTGTTCCAGGTGGAGGACCAGCCGGAATACGAAGTCAACCTGTACATGTACCTCTACTTTGTCATCTTCATCATCTTCGGCTCCTTCTTCACCCTCAACCTGTTCATCGGCGTCATCATCGACAACTTCAACCAGCAGAAGAAAAAGATAAGTTGCATTTATTAACGATTTTTATTAGATAACGTGACCATCACGTATGTACAAGTAGGTGGAATGAAACCGCAAAATATTACTCTCTCATGTTCACTTTCTTTATCTCCTATGATTTATAAAATGCACACTAAATAAAAAAATAACCCTGCTAATACCTTTATGCTCTATGACGTCCAGCTCTTGAGGTCTGAAAGACAATTTCTAACTCTGTATTTCCAGATTTACTGTAGTGAAGGTAGACGTACAGCTGTGTGTCAGCAGCACACACATGAAACTCAGTGTACGTAAATGAACACAAAGAGGCCTTTGAGGGACGTCACAAGTTTTTGACTGAGTTAAAGTCTCCCTAGATTCATGTAGTTTCATGTTTGCACCCCAAAAGAAAACCTTGAGGCACAAAGTGGAGGAGCTTCTGACTGTCTGAGTTTTATTTTTTAAATATTTTCAGCCTTTATTAGATAGCTGGCCATAAACAGGCCGTGACAGGAGGACCAGGGAGGCCAGGACACATCTGGCTCAGGAAAAAAACTAGGAAACAAACTGTGTCGGTTACTTTTAAGTCAAAATGATGTCACATGTTCACTGATGTCTGTATTGTAACTCCTTGTTAGAACATGTAAACATGTTGATAGCATGTATGCTAACTGTATAACCAGTACACCAGACGGGTTAGCATCTAGAACACACCATGTGAGTAGTATGCACGTTAGTATATGACAGATCAAACTGTTGCTGATCCACACTTGTAGCTGTTACTAACACACGTAGCATCAAACCGAACACCAGCAGGTTCCAGTCCTGTACCTCCACATCCCAAAGCCAGTCTGGGCACAGAGCAGCTACAGCACAGATTTAGCCAACACGGACCCACAGCTGTGTAAAAAACAACATGTAAGCTACAGAATAATGATCATGTGCAGCACGGTGAGGACCTGCTGCTGCTGCTGCTGCTGCCAACGATGAGTGCATGAGTCACTGAGAAACACCCTGCCTGCACACACATGCAGTGTCACAGCCAATGCAGTGTGGTGATGTGCCCTCCGTTCAACCAGGCCCTAACACGCAGGATTGGCAACGCCCAAGACCGGGAGGAGGGGGAGCGAGATGGGGGAGGGGGCTTGCCTAGCGCTGTGTTTGCTGCCAGGTCTGGCTGACTGACTGACTGACTGAGACTCTGGATCAGCAGCCCACAGCATCGCACAGATGGTTGTTTGGTGTTGACACCAGTCCTCCCTCCAGACACACATCATCCACTCAGTGAGCAGCACTCAGAGTGTGCCCTGTGTGTGATACTAAGAAGCCAGCTCATTTCCTTGAAGATTGAGAGCAGAGGGACTCAAACAGAAACAGATATTTAGCATGCTTTTCAGGATGCAGAACACTGATATCAAACAGAGGATTCTACCTGTACACCTGCAGGAAGCCCCTCTGCTGCCTCCCCACCCGTCAGAGAATAAATAAAAGGAGGCAAAAATATACACAAAAGGACAAACCCACATCATGTCATTACAGTTTAGAGCAAACGACAGAGGGGGAGGAAGTTCCAGGTGTGCAGGTGTAATTATTTTCTGTTGACTCACGATCACATGATACGTCCTTTACAAAGAGAACCCACTGCTGTCATGCTCTGATGCAGGCTCTGTGTCAACACATCAGCCTATTGACTGTAAATAGATATACCCAAAAGATAAACACATGGACACACAGCTAATCGTGTGATAATGAGCCGCAAATGCAAAAAGAGAAGAGTTAATTTCCCTAAGTGTCCTATTATGAGGGATACAGTGGAAGTTGTCGGAGGCATCGCACACTTCCTGTTTCCTTTCCTGAGCAACAGATTAGCTGTGGTTTGGAAACCAGAACTCGTAGGGGTTTAACTGTGGACTGAGCTAGACTTGATGTCCTGAGCAGCAGCTAAACTGGTTGTGTGAGCCTCAGTATCATGTAGCTCACTGGGCTGGACTGACGGTTTCCCAGCATGCACATGGTCAGTGGAAGTATCATCCTGAAAGCATCCTTAAAACCCTGCGTGAGACATTAAAAGTCCAAACTCAACTATACGGTTACGAGACATCACACAGCATGGTTATAACCAGGTTTTGATGTGATCCCTTTACTTCGGAGGTCAGGACATCTTCATGACAGAAGAACAGAAGAAGTACTACAACGCCATGAAGAAGCTCGGCTCCAAGAAACCACAGAAGCCGATACCTCGTCCAACAGTAAGACTGCATGCTCTGCTCTGTCACTCATCAACCACAAGCGAGGCAGTGAAATAACTGACGCTGTCCTGTCTCTTGTCCCCCTCCTGCCTTCAGAATGCGTTTCAAGGCTGCGTGTTCGACTGCATCACTAAGCAGGCCTTTGACATCGTGATCATGATCCTGATCTGCCTTAACATGGTGACCATGATGGTGGAGACGGACGACCAGACCCCGGACATGGACAACATCCTGTACTGGATCAACCTGGTCTTCATCGTGCTCTTCACCGGAGAGTGCACGCTCAAGATGATCTCTCTGCGTCACTATTACTTCACCATCGGCTGGAACATCTTTGACTTTGTGGTGGTGATTCTGTCTATCGTAGGTAAGAAGGCGTTTTGAGGTTTCTTGTCTTTGCAGTGGGTTTTTAGGAGCTTCTCATGACTCAGTCTGGTGTTTTGTGCTCCTGTAGGTATGTTTCTATCTGAAGTTATCGAGAAGTACTTTGTGTCCCCGACTCTGTTCCGAGTGATCCGACTGGCCAGGATCGGCCGCATCCTCCGCCTTATCAAAGGAGCCAAGGGCATCCGGACGCTCCTCTTTGCCTTGATGATGTCCCTCCCCGCCCTCTTCAACATTGGCCTCCTCCTCTTCCTGGTGATGTTCATCTACGCCATCTTCGGCATGTCCAACTTCGCCTACGTCAAGCGGGAGGCGGGGATCGACGACATGTTCAACTTTGAGACCTTTGGGAACAGCATGATCTGTTTGTTTCAGATAACGACGTCAGGCGGGTGGGACGGCCTGCTGGCGCCCATCCTCAACAAGAGGGAGCCCGACTGTGACAGCCAGATAGAGCACCCGGGCAACTACTACAAAGGCAACTGCGGCAACCCATCAGTGGGCATCTTCTTCTTTGTCAGCTACATCATCATCTGCTTCCTCATCGTGGTCAACATGTACATCGCCGTCATCCTGGAGAACTTCAGCGTGGCCACAGAGGAGAGCGCTGAGCCTCTCAGCGAGGACGACTTTGAGATGTTCTATGAAGTGTGGGAGCGCTTCGACCCGGATGCTACTCAGTTTATGGAGTACAGCAAGCTCTCTGACTTTGCAGACGCTCTCGACCCCCCGCTGCGCATGCCCAAGCCCAACATGATCCAGCTCATCTCCATGGACCTGCCCATGGTCAGCGGCGAGCGCATCCACTGCCTCGACATCCTGTTCGCCTTCACCAAGCGAGTGCTGGGCGAAGGCGGGGAGATGGACGTGCTGCGCGGCCAGATGGAGGAGCGCTTCATGGCCTCCAATCCCTCCAAGGTGTCTTATGAGCCCATCACCACCACGCTGCGTCGCAAACAAGAGGAGATGTCGGCCATAGTCATCCAGAGAGCCTTCCGCCGCTACATGATCCGCCTGGCCATGAAGAAGGCCTCGGCCCTCTACAAGGAGCAGCTGAAGGAGGGCGTCCGCGACCCCGACAAGGACGTCATGGTCATCGGCAAGTTCACGGAGAACTCCACCTCGGACAAAACGGACATGACCCCCTCCACGGCGTCTCCACCCTCCTACAACAGCGTGACGAAGTCGGACAAGGACAAATACGAGAAAGAAAACAGGGAAAAAGAAAACAAAGGGAAAGACTTGAAAGACCGAAAGAAGTAGACTTTTTAAAAGGAACAAAAAATAAAAAATGCATCAGAGACATGAGGGAAATTTGTTTACAGCTTCTAGAGGGGGTAAATAGATGTACGCTTGTGTGCCGGCTGGTCGCTCAGAGACGAGGGATGCTGTGCTCGGTGGGTCTAACGTGGGAGGTAGCTCGTATACAGATGTGTGGGGAGTTGTCAGAGGGGAGGACGGAACCAGATCATCCAGCAGACACTGCCAGACGTCGAGTGAAACGTGGAACAGCCTCTCTGCAAAACGCTTGTGATTTTCCTATTGGTTGTTGTTACTATCTGACACACTTGAGTGTACTGTTAAGTTGTCTGTAGCTAGTGCTGCTGCTACTACTATAAATCCAGTGTCTTGAATTTAACAATCGCTGTATCACCTAACAAATACTCTGCATTACTTTGTTAAGTTTTTTTTGGGGGGGGCGGGGGTAGGGAGGGGTAACGAGGTTTCTTTTGTAACGAGGAAGAATGTTTTCTACTTTTTCGTGTCCTTATCGTGAGAATGTGTGCGCTGCTTTCACTGTTGTAAACTCACCAAGGGCAGACTAAGTCAATGCTGGAAACCACATAAACCGTCTGAGACTCGGGCCGGGCCGGGCCAGCGCCAGAACGCTCATCGAGTACACAAAGCTGAAACAACAAACGTACGAATGAAGTGCAATGAACAAATGGGTGGTGTTCACTGGTGTGGGTCAGTGACTGTCCAGGTGTGTGTTGTGCTTCTCGCTGTGAACACGGAGAAGCTGAATGTATGCAAGCTGAAGGAATGAGACACGCTGAAAGACATTCTGGGAAATAATCTTGATCTCTTTGTTGTTAAGATTTGGACAAAATGACCACCACTCTCGTATCTGTCTGTTAAACATGAGGTCAGTTAGCTTAGCTTAGCATGAAGGCTAGAACCAAAACCAAACTGTCCATGTAATACCAGATCATCTTGAAAACGTAAAATCTGAAACCTAAATGGAGATTCAAAGATGCAACACGTCTGTTAACTGAAGGTGCTGCATGTCGTTGAGCTTCAGGCCGAGCCAGCTGCTCCCCCAATGCTAGTCCTCATGCTAAGCTAACCACGATGTACCTGCCCCAGCTAATTACCCTGTTAGGACTTCATGAATAAATTAGTCACCTGAGCGTCATCGAGCTTTGGTCAACATGCAATAAGATGTTCTGTCAGTGCAACGTAAATGAACTGTAGCTCAGCTCTAAATGTTAGCATTAGCATCGCGCACATTGACAGGGACAGAAAACATGAGTTCTGACCTTATTGGCTTGTACATCCCCACTGATGTAGAACTATTTCCCTTTGGTGGAGATCACAGTGAAATAGTTATGAGGCATAACTGTCCATAAAACATGAGGTCGTTCCGTTTCAGGTTCAGATTCCAGGGAGAAGATTCTAAAAAAAAAAATAGTTCTGACTTTGTTTTCTGAATCCTAACTTTCAACATTCAGTCAGATGATTTGGGGGTGAAAAAATAATAAAAAGTCAAGATGTTTTAGTCAGAACTATGAGAGAAAAGTCTTAAGTCAGACTTCTACAACAAGGTCAGACGTCAAATACATTTTCTACAGTGGCCCTACAGAATAAACAAACGAGACAACAACAACCAAGACAAAGGACCCTAACGAACCCCACTGTGTCAGGGGGAGCACTAACGACTCTCATAACGAGGGGGAGGAGCAACAAACCCCTCAGGTGTTAGTGTCTCCTTCAGGATATCTGGATTTCCCAACTAGTCAGTCAGAGCTGATGAAGCCTCTTGGATGAAGGTAGAACGTCTTCAAGGAACTCAAGCAGTTGCTACGATTAAGCCACGAGAATAATCATGACCTGGAAGAGAAACAAACAAGACACAACATATTGATTAATGAGCGTTCCAAAGTGTTGATAAGCAGATGTTTCATGCAGCTACGTGAGTGGTGTCCATCATCCGACTGTCGCCAACAAATGAAATCAGGTCATTTCCCAAAACCCTTCTTTTAAGGTGACGCTCAAACCTGCTGGTTGGCCTGCCGTCGTGTTGCTCCGTCGTCCTCTCCACCTTCCTCCATCCAGCCCTCATCCCCCGGAGCTCCTGTAAAGAAAAAAAAGTAATGAAATATATTAAAAAAAAGAAAATGTCGGTCTTTCTAACTGCTCTCCAGCTAGGACGTGACAATATATCCCATTTAAAGGTTATGATATCACACATGTTTGTTCGCCTGTCATGTCGTTGAACTCGAGCAGCGAGTGGTTTTCATGTAGTGCTTTGGTTTGTACATATTCTAGCTACTCGGGCCCACAGTATGCATCACACTTACATCTGATGTAAGAGCACTTTCTATCCCCACTGCCGTGTAATAGCACGTGTGGCCGTCATACATGTAGGCGTGTGCGTCTGGGAGAACGTGAGCCTCTAACTCTTAACGTGAGCGAGTGTGTTTGGGGTCTGCGGGTTGCTTATGTTCTATAAATAACATTTTTACTGTAGATATGAGTGCATTTTTCCAGTCTTTTGGATTTGATTTGCATTTTTTCTAGACCAGTTTTTTTTGTTTTGTTTCCGTTCTTCGGTGAAACACATGTACGGTCCCCACGTCTGTAGATACAAACCATGAAGCAACCAGTAGCCATCTCTCATTGCGCTTGTAGTGTTTTAGTGAACTGCATGCAGGAAGTGACTACTGTCCGCTCATATGGTCATATACTTTTAAAGCCAAAAGAATAAAGAACATATTTTTTGTAAATGCTTGTTTATTTACTCTGTTTTCTTTCCCAGTGGGTTTTGTTTTTTAGTGACATCAGCTCTCTGGTGTGTGGTCTGATGTCGGTTCAACAGGATCCTTCATGTGCTTCATGTACACATCTAACTCTGTATCGATTTGCAAAATGTGACGCGTGACCTTTTTTTTTTTTGTTATAACCAAAGATGTGGCAACAAAACACAAAACCTAGATTTCCAAAATAAAATCCATTTTGGGAAGCGTACTCTGCATGCAAGATGAATTCATTTGAGAGGTAAGAGGCTCCATCCATCATCCACACACCACCTGATCCTCACTAGGGGGGCGGAGCCTATCCCAGCTGACTCAGGGTGAAGGCAGGTTCACCTGGACAGGTAACCAGTCTATCACAGGGCTACACTTAGAGACAGACAACCAAGCACACTCACATTCACACCTACGGACAATTTAGAATCACCAATTAACCTCAGCATGTTTCTGGACTGTGGGAGGAAGCCGGAGAACCCGGAGAGAACCCACGCTGCACGGGGAGAACATGGAGACTCCACGCAGGAAGATCCTGGTGTCCTCAACGAGGGATCTTCTAGCTGAAGCCACCGTGCAGCCCAGCTCCTGAGGTGATCGGCTGATTTCAGTGTGAGGATAATGTGTTTATTCTAGACAGCCCAGTGATGAACTGGGCCAGGAGACCATCCCAGAGGGGGAAACTGGTCGATGTTTGTTCATGAAGTGTTTGTCCATGAAGTGTTTTTATCAGAAAGAAAATTTCACAATAAACCACCTGGTTAATAATATGTGATGTTTTAACCTCTAAAAAACACTTAATTAGCAGTTTAAATGTTTAAAGTCTCATCAACTGAAGCTCCAGTAAAGAATCTACATGGTTTAAAACTCAGGAAGGAATTTGAATCTTTAGTTTTTTTTCCTGGAGTTTAGAAATCACACCTTAAAGAAAACCTTCATTCAAGGGACGCTCACTGGATTTCTTCCAGAGCTCCTCCTTCTTCACTGGATTTAAAGCACATAATGAGCTTTGAGGTTCTTCTTCTTGGCTTGTTTGTTCATTTTTAAAATAAGTATTGACTCAGGTCATTTGTTATTATCTATAAGGCTTCATAGTCGTGGTAATTGTCAAGTATATGTGACAGTTAACCTTCCTATAAAGCCTGATATCAAGAACTCAGATGTCTGTCCTCGTTTCTTGGCAGCTGCTGAGTTTTTGCTCCGTGACGAAGCATCCGTCCACTCAGAAGCAGCTAAATGTGGATGTGAACTGTTGCCACGTACGCCGTCGTCAGCCGACCTGCATCATCTCACGTCTGCTTCCCAAAGTGAACTCACACTTTCATACAACCACAGTCTGTGTGGGGTCAGTGGGTTAAAGTTTATTTGGAGGCAGAAGCTACATTCCCACAACAACTCAGAGGCGAATGCTGTCGTTTTTACTCCACGACAACTAATAATGTTGCAGATTTACTTTCAAAACAACAAAATATAATCAATAAATACATTTTAAGGCAATATTGTACCCGCTCCAACATCACAGTGATCAACACATGAAGGCATTTATAATTCTGATCCAGTAATATCATCATTTGGTGATATGTACTTTGGTATTTTAGGTAGATTTTGATGCGAGTACTTCTGTACTTAACTATAAATTTAAATGTGTAACCTTTACTTCTACGGCAGTATTTCTACACTCTGGTATCGATACGTTTACTTCAGTGTGAGATCTGAGTCTTTCCCACGCCTGTCATTTTGCTTCTCTTCCTAGTTTTCCCGTTAATGTTGACTTTTCTCTCACTAACTTAATTGCAGTATCTGTTTTTTGTGTATTTGTTTGTTTTGCTCTTTTTTTAAATCAGTTGCATTCATCTTTCTGAACAACGCCGGCCTTTGGGAGGCTGCTGGTGGAGAAGCTCCGGCTCGGTGTTTGGCGTCGTCTCCACGGCGTGCTCGCTCAGGTGTCACGACCACGACGAGCACGCCGACGTGTGAGGAGAAGCCGGGACGGACTGGAGGGAGATGGAGGTGCAGAGCGAAGACAACCCCCACCCAGCAGCCCCGGCGAACGCTTTGCTGCTCTTGCTTCTCCGTTCTTGTTGCCAGGCAACCGAACATCACAGCTCCCCTGCCTGTGATTGATCAGCAGTGTCTCTGAGCTCGCTTACCCACAATACTTTGCTGGCAAAGAGGCAAGCAGGCATTCCCCCCGCCAGCCCCCAGCACACCTTAGATTAGATTATATAAGAAAAG